TAGTCTTAAAGAGCGGGTGCTGAAACTTCCAATCGGATTGGAGAATCTGTGGTTGCCACATATGGTAGGGGAAGCTCAAAAATGGCAATGGCCGCATCCCTGCCGTATGCAGTGACTGTATGAAAGCATTAAGGACAATGCTGTACATGTTCGGTAGAAGAAAATCCATTCATCAGGATTCATGGTCTTAATTGGTCCCGATGAGGAGGTGAAGGGGTGCCTCACCAGGAAGGTGTACGTGAAGGGCAGAGCAAGCTGCAGGCGTCTGGGGCACCCGGGGTATGCAAAAAAGAGATAGAGTTGTTCTGGGCCCAGACAAACACACCTATTTTACCTGTCTGACCTGCCCTTGTATCCTATTACCGTACCTCCTCCTCTGCCTCTCAGATCTCGCTCCGGTGAAGTGGTGCAGGTGCGCATGTGCAAGACCTGAGAGGTAGGTGTTTTGGACTTCAACTACCAGCCTTCCTATCGGCTCTTAAGAATTACTGTGGGAGTCCCAAACACCCAGAGGAAAGGAAGGCCAAAGTTGGCCCATGCTTGGTGTATCCCATATGTCTAACCAGAAAAAAAATTCGGAGAGGGTTGAAAATTTCAGGGGGGGGGCGGTTGAAACCTGCCTCCTAGCTCACGCTGAAGAAAAGAGCACAGCAGGGGGCAGAGCAGCCTTCAATAGCCTGCAGCTCCGTCCCTGTCACCCACCTCCACCAAGTCTGAACTCCTTAATGAGGGCATTCAACACCCCCCCCCCACCCCATCTTGGTTGCGTTGCTACATCTGCTATTGATGCGAGTAAAGACAGTATGAATAAATTGTCAATATTTACTTGAGATAGTGCTTGCAGTTCTGGAGGGACTCTTAATTTTTTGCATCTCATAGACTTAGCATGGGGATTTGGTTAACCAGTTAAAATTCATGAGTAAACCAGGTTTTTAACCTGAAAAATTTGGGGGGGGGGGTTGAATCCCTACCCCCCCCGGCTACAGGCCTGTGTCTAACCTTTATGATGTTGTTGGAGGCAAGCCCAGGTAATATCACAAAGCACAATCATGAATACGGTGTGCCATGCATCCCATATAAGTCTAGCATACATATTGACAGTGAGAAGGTGCTGCTCTTGCCCTGCGCTTCCTCCCTTCCCCAGATGGAAGGGGGAAGATCCAGTGACCCTTTAAGAGGATGGCAGGGAGGGCAGCAGAGGCCACCAGCATCCGTCCCGCTTTGCTTTAAAAGCCCCAAAGCGTACCTCTGTCCACAACACAGACCAGGAAGAATGTGCACACACAGCAGCGCTGCCTCAGAGAGAGGCACAAAGCGGCACAATTCCTCCCAGCCACACACACACACACCGTCAATGCACACACATTTTGGGAAGCCCCTCTACTCTGAAGAAGGAGCTTTCTTTGGAAAACCAAACATGGGTTGCATTTCAACGGTGTGTGTGTTTGGTTCTTTGCCAACACACAGTGAGCTTCATGGGGAAAAGATGTTTGCGCCAATGCAAAAAATGCAGTCCCTACTCCAAGTGGGTCGATTGCGGACATCCTTATGTGTCTCCCACAGTGGGCCCAGATTGCTGTTGTTTCCAACTGGTGGCAAACATTTTTTATTTATGGCAAATGTTTCCAACTTACAGCAAACATTTCCTACTTATCGCAAACGCTTCTGACTTATGGCAAATGGGATTGTGGCGCAGCTGGCTGGGTGTCAGCTGCATTAAGATCACTCTGACCAAAAGGTCATGAGTTCGAAGCCAGCCCGGGTTGGAGTGGGTTTCCAACCAATTGTGTAGCCTGTTGTCGACCTTTGCAACCTGAAAGACAGTTGCATCTGTCAAGTAGGAAAATTAGGTACCACCTTAAAGTGTGGGGAGGCTAAATTAACTGATTTATGAGGCCATAAAGAAGACTCCAGCAAAGCACTCCAGCAAAAAAGCATACGGGGAATGCGGAAGTGCTTCATCAGTGTCGCAGATGGACGATGAAAGCGACAGCTCCCCTGGCGGCCAGGGAAAAAAAAGTTAAATAGCCTCTGTGTATGTCTGTATATGTTTGTATGTCAAAAATTGGTATTGAATGTTTGCCATATATGTGTACACTGTATTCCGCCCTGAATCCCCTGCAGGGTGAGAAGGGCGGAATATAAATGCTGCAAATAAATAAATAAATAAATAAATAAATAAATTTCCGACTTGTGATAAGTATTTCTGACTTACAGCAAACATTTCCAGCTTATGGCAAATGTTATTGATTTATGGTAAACATTTCCACTTTTAGGTGAATGTTTCCATCTTATGGCAAATGCTTCTGACGTAGCAAATGCCTTCAATTTATGGCAAGCAATTCTGGCTTAATGGAGAAGGGGAAATGGTGGGAATGACTCCTTCTTCTTACCTGCGCAGATAGAATGTGTGAAACCCTGCCTCCCTGGCCCTTGCCTGATCTCTGAAGGACTGCATGACGAATGAATGGGAATGGATGCCTTGCCTGGCAGGCAGGGAGGCTTTTGGGGCTGAATCTTATTTTTAGGTTGCAGATCATCGCTGGGTAACCAGGCAACTGGGGAACAATGCTGCTGATGCGTTTTGTGGGTGGCCAGCAGGGAGTCACGCTCTTTCTGGGGAAAACAGGGGGTAAGCGTTCCATCCCTGGCCCTTGGGGTGGGCAGTGGGATCAAACCCAATCCAGCCATGCAATAAGGAAGGATGAGAATACCAGCTCCACACTATCTTCCTGTTGATGTGGGGCGTGGAACTGGGATCAGCTTTGAAACTGAGAAAGAACCCACAAGCCATCGCTTTGTGCCAAAGAAACCCTGCTTTCAGTCCAACACACTACTGAGATAGGCAAAGATTGTACTATGTGACAAGATTTATGTTTCTGGGGTAAAATAAAATAAAATAATAATAATAATAATAATAATAATAAAGAAAGGGAAAATTACACATAGAGATGGGTATTCCCCCCCCCCCCCCACCACCACTTCTTCTTTTATAAATCTCACTTAACAAATTATTTGAAATCCATAAGTCATCGCCAGGGATAATTTTGTTCTTATGCTTCAGTTTTCTTGTACAATTGTAGCTCATAACAGGAAGACAGTGACGCTAATTACATTTCACTGGAGAAACATCTTTCTTTACAGACAAACCATAAAGTGCAATCAGCCTGAAGCCTATAAATATCTGGGCATACTACAGTTGGACAATATCAAGCATGGGAAAGTGAAAAATGTGGTCAGCAAAGAATATATCTAAAGAGTCAGAAAGGTTTTGAAGAGCAAATTAAATGGCGGAAATACGATCAAGGCTATCAACACCTGGGCCATCCCCATCATTAGATACACTGCTGGGATTGTGAACTGGACACAAGCAGAGTTGGATGATCTGGACAGAAAAAGAAGAAAACTGATGACAATCCACTACGCATTACACCCACATAGTGATGTCAACAGACTTTACCTGCCCAGAAAATCAGGAGGCAAAAAGAGGGCTTCTGCAAGTGAAACAAACAGTAGAAGAAGAGAAACATGCCCTGGCAGATAATGTGAAAGGCAGTCAAGAACCAACATTGAGGGAAGTCAATAGTATTAAACTGCTTACAGTGCAAAAGACAAAGAGGGAATACTGTAAAAATACAATGCAGAGCAGAAGAGAAAACTGGCAAAAGAAGGCTCTCCATGGACAGTTCCTGGCAAAAATTGAGAGCCAAATTGTAGCTCACAAATGGAACTTGGAAAAAGGAGATGGAGGGCCTGATTCTGGCAGCCCAAGAACAAGCCATTCAGACCAATGCCATCAAAGCCAGAATTGAAAAGTCGACAACAGATCCCAAATGTAGACACTGCAAGGAAGCAGATGAAACAATAGATCACATCCTCAGTTGCTGCAAGAAGATCATGCAGACAGACTACAAGCAGAGGCATAACACCGTTGCTCAGATGATTCATTGGAACTTGTGCCACAAATACCTTCTGCCTGTGACAAAGAACTGGTGGGATCACAAGCCGGAAAAAGTTACAGAGAATGAACACACCAAATGCCACATCTCTGGCATTGGGGAGGGGTTGGCTGGTGACTGCTGGAAGAGCACTTTGGTTTTCTCGATGTTCAATGACAGGCCGAGCTTCTCGTATGCTTCTGCAAAGGTGTTTAGAGTGGCTTGTAGATCTTCTTCTGAAAGTGCACAGACGACGTTGTCATCAGCATACTGCAGTTCTATAACAGATGTTGTTGTAACCTTGGTTTTGGCTTTCAGTCTGCTGAGGTTAAACAGCTTGCCATCTGTCCGATAGATGATTTCCACTCCGGTGGGAAGCTTCCCATCAACAAGGTGGAGTATCGTAGCGATAAAGATGGAAAATAAGGTTGGGGCAATAACACATCCCTGTTTGATGCCTGATTCCACCTTAAATGGGTCACTTTGGGAGCCATTGCTGTCCAAGACTGTTGCCATCATGTCATCATGGAGGAGCCGCAGAATGTTCACAAATTTGCTTGGGCACCCGATTTTTTGGAGGATGGTCCAGAGAGCGCTGCGATTCACTGTATCAAATGCCTTTGCAAGGTCAATGAATGCCATGTACAGAGGTCGATTTTGTTCCCTGCATTTCCCTCCCTTTTCTAAAACATTACACATGCTATTAAAACACAATTGTCATTTCCTAATTGGTTTTATCATTAAAACATGGGAAAAGTTTATTAAACTGGAAACACTTTGTCTTTGTGGGAAGGATATCTTGCTATAGCACATTTATTATATTGTTATTATATTATATACTTATAGTTCAATAATTATAGTATCTTACACTATGTAACATGGTTTTTGTTCCTGGGTTATCAATGCCATTTCCTAACTGGTCCTGTCATAAAAACATAGGAAACATTTATTAAACTGCAGATTTGTTTTTGTTTTTGTGGGCAGGACATCCTGCACCACATTATATTATTATTATTATTATTATTATTATTATTATTATTATTATTATTAATTTCATCACAGATCCATAGAAGGGAGGAGGAGGACGGTGCCTGTCCCGGCAGAAGAATGAGTGAGGAAACCATCCCAGAGGAGGTCTCCCCTTCCTTGCCCTCCCAGAGCCAGAACTGCGACCGCTTCTCCGAAGATGACCCCGAGTTCCTCCGCCTGCGCAACACGGCCGCCGGTCTCCGTCAGGACTTCAACCTGATGGAGCAGAAAAAGAGGGTCACCATGATCCTGCAAAGCCCCGTGAGTTGGCCCCATCCATCCAGTGCTATGGTTCAGGGACCTGTTGTTTGGAGAAGGCCAAGATCCCGTAGGACTCAGCCATGGCAGTGAAAACAGCACTGAACCACCCGCCTTCCACAGTTTATAAAACGCATGGGCAGGCTGTTAGGAATTGTGGGAGCTGGAGTCCAAAACACCTGGATAGTCGAAGTTTGCCAATGCCTGTTTTAGATGCACCCAGAGGCAAAGGAACCATCCAAGGTCCCGAAGTATGTTTTCAGGCATTAAAGGCCAGCACCTTGGAGAGCTCCTTCAAAACCTGGGTTGGATTCACTTTCCTCCTCAAATGGGAATCAACCATTGCATCTGTTTCTTAACCTACTACTTATTTCTTTCCTGCCTTCTTTCCTTCCTTCCTTCCTTTCTCCCCCCCCCTCCCTCCCTCCCTCCCTCCCTCCCTCCCTCCCTCCCTCCCTCCCTCCCTCCCTCCCTTCCTTCCTTCTTTCCTCCTTTCTTTCCCTGCTTCCTTCCTTCTTTCATAGAATCATAGAATTGGAAGAGAACTTGTGGGCCATCCAGTCCAGTAAAGTACTGTTCACAAGGCTGTTGTCTCCCTTCTCCATTGGACTTAGTTTAAAGTGTGCCTAATAAGGTTTGTGAGTCTGTGAGCAAAAGGGTGTTTACCTACTTGTATGAGGTGCACCCCATCCCTTGCCAATAGACCATCCTCCTGGAAAAGCAGGCCTTGGTCGAGGAAGCCAAAGCATTCCTCCTGAAACCATTTTCTAAGCCAGTTATTGACCTGTACTATTTTTCTGGCCCTTGTAGGACCGTGTCTTACAACTGGGAGGAGGGATGAAATGACCACCTGTACATTACACTGTTTTAGCTTTGTTCTGAGAGCTGCAAAATCATTTATGAAGAATTTAGCCTCACCTCCCAAACAAACCTAACACTCAGAGCAGCTAGTCCAGTGGTTCTCAGCCTGGGATCTCCAGATGTTTTTGGCCTACAACTCCCAGAAATCCCAGCCAGTTTACCAGCTGTTAGGATTTCTGGGAGTTGAAGGCCAAAAACATCTGGGGACCCCAGGTTGAGAATCACTGAGCTAGTCTTTAACACACACTCAGATTTCTAATGCACTCTAAGACAAGGTTTACCTGAAGCAAAGGGAGTAAAAATGGCTTCTTGCTTCCTCAACTTCTATGGGAACTCAGCTGCCACTTGAGCTCAGACCTTGGCTTATATAGGTTAAACAGGAAGCAAATACTCACTCCCAGATAGCTTCAAAGAACAGGGAACAATCAAGTCACTAATTGCTGATCTGAAACTCCCAGAAATCATTGCTGACGGAAGAATTTAGCCTTGCCTCCCAAACAAAACAAACACGCAGAGCAGCTAGTCTTAAACACACATTCAGATTTCCAATGTACTCTAAGACAAGGTTTACCTGAAGCAAAGGGAGCAAAGATGGCTTCTTGCTTCCTCAACTTCTGTGAGAACTCAATTTCTTTTTCCTTCCTTCTTTCCTTCCTTCCTTTTTTCTTCCTTCCTTCTTTCCTTTCTTTTTTCTTCTTTTTGCCTTCCTTCTTTCCTTCTTTTTCCTTCCTTCCTTCCTTCCTTCCTTTCTTTTTTTTCTTCCTTCTTTCCCTCTTTCTTTTTTTCCTTCCTTTTCCCTTCCTTCCTTATTTCCTTCCTTCCATCCATCCATCCATCCTTTCTCTAAGTAACTGATGTACAATAAAACCGTGGTGTCCTACTAGAAATGGGAAGGCCAGGTGAAAAATACTGAAAAATCGGGGGAAAGTTTTCTTTCCTGTTTTTTTTCCAAAGTCATTTTTGTCCTGATTTTTTAAAAAAGTGAATAGAAGCAAAAAAAAAATCCCAAAAATCTTTCATTATGGCCTTCATGTTATATAGATATACTGTTTCTTATTGGAAAAGAGCGTATTCTACACACTTTTCAATTTGTCCAGGAAAAAAAGGCTTTGGAAAAAAAACAGGAAAAAAACTCTTTCCCAATTTTTCAGACCCCCCCCCCCCACCCAACTTTTCTGTTTTTTCCAGGACTTTTCTAGTCCTAACAGATCCATTCCCAGGAATCCCTCCAAAGTTCTCAACCAAAGTACCAAAGGTGTGCAACTAAGAGTGCAACTTAGAATGTGGCAAAACAGGTGCTTTATTTTGTAATCCTACATATATAATGTGATTGGGGATGGCCTTTAATTTCTTTGCACGATGCACGATGTAGAATAACAACAAAATTATTCTATTCTATCTACATTATAGAAGTAACACAGTTTGACACCACTTGGAAAGCCCTGGCTCAGTGCTAGGGAAGCACGTGAGTTGCAGTTTTGTGTTGTTTTTAGCTTTTCTCTGCCAAAGAGTTCCAACTACAATTTTTGGGAACCCATAGCCTTGAGCCAGGGGAGTAATTCAAGTGGCGTCGAACTACATGAATTCCATGTCTAGCTAAGGAAAGCTGGGCTTGGCAATCCCTTGAATCATTCAGGATGTCTTCGATGTGTTCTCAGTCTTTCAGGGAGGAGCTGGAGAGCCTCATCCAAGAGCAGACGAAGAAAGGCAACAACTCCAACATCTGGGCCCTGCGGCAGATTGCGGACTTCATGGCCAGCACCTCCCCCTCTGTCTTCCCCACATCACCCTTGAGTGAGTCCCCGTCTCTTCTCATGCAGACGCATTTGCACTCCCAATAGGATGTCTTTAAGGATGTCGCGGGAGGGGCATGCTGGCTTGCAGGATACCCAGAGCCCCTATCCTAATGGCGCAGAGGATGCCATTGCTGCAGCATCCTGGAAGTTGTAATTTTACAAGGTCTTTAGCCTTCTCTGACCAAGCGTACAACAAAATGCAACTTCCAGGGATCCATAGCATTGGGCCATGGCGGATAAAGTGGTGCCAAACTGCATCCATTCTTGTATATAGATTCACCTTGTATTTGTCATCATCTACTATTAGGCATGAGGTCCCATTATACTGAACTGCTTCAGCTGTCATGGCAACCTACACTGGAATCCTGGAATTTGCAGCTTAGGTTGAGTCACCTTTGGGTTCGAGAAAAGTGGGATAGAAATATCGTAAATAAATACATAGAAAAATAAATATGTTGGTGTAAAAAGAAGGTTTTAGGGGTGATGATAGAGTTCAGCACACTTCAGCCATTTGCACTCCCATTGTGCAATGCTAGGGAGTCCTGGGAGTTGTGGTTTTATGGGGCCTGGAACACCAAACTACAGATCCCAGGACTCCATGGCAGGTAGAAATTGTGTTTTTCTGCATTAACTCTACAGTGTAGCTGCCCCTTTAGTCATAAGGCCTGGGAACCTCCTTTGACCCCTTGAGTTGCCCAATGTGCCCCTTGGTGCAGGGCTGGACAGGATGGATTCTGGACTGGTTTCCCAGCATTTTCTAAGGAGTGAGAGAAGCAAAAGGACAGGACGTCCCCCTTGCTTTTCCAGAGCAAAGCACAACCCTGCAAGCTTCTCCAGAAATCACTCTGGGTATAAATAGCTCATTCCAAAAATATAACACTGGAGATTAAGGTGTCCAATGTTTTGTGTTCCCACCAATGGTTTTCTAAATCTGCTGGCAAAATATCATTGGTGGTGCTGCTTCTGTGAAACAGGGAATGGGCTGCCTGGTTTTAGAACTACATTTTTGTTTTCATTCTTCTTGCAAATTTCAGACCAATGGATGAAGCTGGCATTTTTGCTCATGGGCAAACTTTGGTCCTCTCTCCAGATATTTTGGACTTCAACTCTCACCATTCCTAACAGCCTCTGGCCCTTTCCTTTCCCCCCTCAGTCACTTAAGTGGAAGGGGAAAGGGAGAAAAGGAAGGGGCCTGAGGCTGTTAGGCATGGTGGGAGTTGAAGTTCAAAGCCGAAGTTTGCCCATGCCTGGTCTAGATGCATTCTGCTATGTGCAATCTCTCTCTCTCTCACTAACAAATGTGCATTGCTCACCTAGAATCCCTTGATTTGACTCAGAAGACATCCAGTCATGAAAAGAGGATTTTTGTAAGATACATATGTAGCTCAGCAACAGGATAATAGTATATCCTAGAGAGCTACAGTTTCAAAAGAACACAGTTCAATGGCATCAAAATTTGGTTGGAAGAAGGTAAACCAACTCTGAGCATAGATAAGTGCCATTGGGTGCTATGGAGAAAGGCAAGCTATCAATCTGAATCAGATTCTCCATCCAGAATCATATACATAAATCTATATATATAAAAATGCTCTGTGCATAATGAGTACCTTAAAAACAAAAGAACCAATGAACAAAATCACACCAAATTTGGCAACAAAATGTCTCACTACACAAGGAGTGACCATTACTCAAAAATTATGATTTTGTCATTTGGGAGTTGTAGTTACTGGGATTTAAAGTTCACCTATAATCAAATAGCATTCTGAACTCCACCAATGATGGAATTGAACCAAACATGGCACACAGGACTCCCCTGACCAACAGAAAACACTAGAAGGGTTTGGTGGGCAATGACCTTGGGTTTTGGAGTTGTAGTTCACCTACATCTAGAGAGCACTGAGGACTCAAACAATGATGGAACTGGACCAAACTTGGCACGAATACTCAATATGCCCAAATGTAAACACAGTTGGAGGTTGGGGAAAATAGACCTTGACATTTGGGAGTTGTAGTTACTGGGATTTATAGTTCACCTACAATCAAGGAGCATTCTGAACCTCACCGACAGAATTGGGGCAAACTTCCCACATAGAACCTTCATGAACAACAGAAAATACTGTGTTTTCTGGTGGTCTTTGGTGACCCTTCTGACACCCCCTCACAACCCCTCCCCCAGGAGTTCCAAATCCCAGGTTGAGAAATGCTGCCTTAAGGCCACCCAGTCCAACTCCCTTCACTATAGCAAGAAAATATAAAGCCTTCCTGACAAAGAGCCATCCAGCCATAGATATAGATAAATATATATGATTCACACGCACACACATATATGTTTATGTCAGATATAGTACCACCTCCCTGGTGACCCCCCCTCCTGAAAAAGGACCATCCAACCATTCACACACACACACATATGTATATGACAGATGCAGTATCAAAGATTTGAAAGGGACCCCTAAAGAAGGACAATGGTATGTTGCATGTTCCAGAGTAGGCAAACCAGACAATCTCCACATCAACACTGGCAAAGAAATACTGTTTACCCACAAACATAAAGACATTACATATATTAGAAACCAACACTTTACCATTACTTTATTTTCCAGATCACTAGGCAGGGATATAGATAGATGGTAGATAGATAGATAGATAGATAGATAGATAGATAGATAGATAGATAGATAGATGGATGGATGGATGGATGGATGGATGGATGGATGGATGGATGGATGGATAGATAGATAGATAGATAGATAGATAGATAGATAGATAGATAGATATTGCAAAACATTACATATAAGTTGCAGAGTACACTACTGGGGCATCATGGGTTTGCACACAGGGACAATCAAAAGTCTCCGAAGCCTTTCCTTCTCGGCACTTCTCCCAGCTTCTCTCCTTTTCCAGAGCTTCTCGGTTCCCTCTGTTCCAAAACAATCCTGCTTTCCAGAGCAATTCTCCTGCTGCACCTCCCCTCATCGTGACCTTCCTTCTCCTTGCGAAAACCTCTTTTCCCACTGTGCAGGCAACCCTATCCTCCTCACCCCTTCATTCTTTTCTTTCTTTAACTTCCTCAAACTTCATCCTTACAGAATCCACACTTGTAAAATCTTATTCTCCTCCAGACCTCTCCACGGTGACGCCCGTCAATGACCTGCACGCTGTGGACTCTGCGGCCCTGGCCAAAGGAGAACGGCTCATGCGCTGCAAGCTGGCCAGCGTCTACCGGCTGCTGGACCTTTATGGCTGGGCCCAGTTCAGCAGCACCTCCGTCACGGTGAGCAATCCCCTCTGTTGCCCCTTTGCCAGCATGCAATAAAACCCAAAATGTAGGTGCAGCCATTGTCCTGCTGTTGCTCTTCTCTGTTTTTATTGGCATTTTCCACAATGTACATTGAGTAGTGGAAGCGAGTCTTGCTGGAGCTCTCCTGGTGCATAGAAATGACACACCAGGAGAGCGGGGGGAGGGCAATTTTGCTTCCTCTCTTACCACCCCCCCCCCCACCACCACCACCACCACCACCCTCCTGGCGCATCATTTCTATGTGCCGGGAGAGCTCCAGCAAGACTGGAATGGAGGCCAGGTAAGATTTCATCACTTTAAAAAGGCGTTAGGGGGCTTTGCGGGAGGGGGGGTGGGACTCCCATAGTTTTCTGGACTAATTTAGGCCGGAATATTGTGGGAATGGTGTCTGGACTGCAGTACTGGGTTTATCCCACGCCTTCCAAGAAGGTGCAGAATAAACCCATTATCCAATTAATTTGGCACAAGGCAGGGTTTTCCTGGTTCGTGGCGAATTAATTTGGGATTGCCCAGAATATCATCTGGACAGCCTCCTTTTTATTGTGGAAGTTTCCGCAATAAAGGGGTGGTCTAGATCCACCCTGAGGGGCCTTCCACACAGCCCTATATCCACGAATATCAAGGCAGGAAATTCCACATTATCGGAATGTGGATTCAGATAACCCAGTTCAAAGCAGATATTGTGGGATTTTCAGCCTTGATATTCTGGGATAAATGGCTGTGTGGAAGGGCCCCCAGTTTCTCTTCTACGAGGGATATTACCACATTCACCACCTTAAGCACATATTTAACATAGATGTGTATCAGTTTTCCAATTCTTAGCCATCAGGTTTAAAATAACATTCTAGGTCTGTTTAACCACCTTGAGCTCTTTAACTACATTATTTAATATATATACGTATCAGTGTTCTAGTTTTCAGTCACCAAATTTAAGCTAACATTCTGCTTTAACATTTTTTGTTCCTGTTGCTCTTTATTTATTTATTTGTTTACAGATTTTATATTCCGCCCTTCTCACCCCGCAGGGGACTCAGGGCGGATTACAGTGGACACATATAAGGCAAACATTCAATGCCAATTTTTGACATACAAACGTATACAGACATACACAGAGGCTATTTAACTTTTTCTGGCCGCCAGGGGAGCTGTCGCTTTCATCGTCCATCTGCGACGCTGATGAAGCACTTCCGCATTCTCCGCATGCTTCCCCGCTGGAATGCTTTGCTGGAGTCTTCTTTATGGCCTCATAAATCAGTTAATTTAGCCTCCCCACACTTTAAGGTGGTACCTTATTTTCCTACTTGACAGATGCAACTGTCTTTCGGTTTGCAAAGGTCGACAACAGGCTATACACAATTGGTTGGAAACCCACTCCAACCCGGGCTGGCTTCGAACTCATGACCTTTTTGGTCAGAGTGATCTTAATGCAGCTGACACTCAGCCAGCTGCACCACAATCTTCTCCAATCTCTCCCAGTCCCTGATTTGCAATGAGCCTTTTGCTCCTTCCTTCTGCAAAGGTCATGCCGGAACTCTGTCAACAGGAGGCTCCATCCACAGGGACCTTATTAAGACTTGATGATGTGGCACCCAAACATTTCCTGGTCTTCATGCCTTGTGGGGGGAAAGGGCCCTGGTACACATGGGACAAAAGCATCGTTCACCTTTTCTTTCTCTCCTTCCTTCCTTCCTTCCTTCCTTCCTTCCTTCCTTCCTTCCTTCCTTCCTAGTTGCGTGTTAGCAAAGAGCAGGACCATTTCCTGACTTGTCCTGTGGGCCTTGCGTGCCATGAAGTGACTGCTTCCAGCTTGGTGAGTGCTCAAAATTCTTTTAACTTCATTTAACTCCTTTTTCAAAACCCGGGGCCCTTCCACACAGCCCTATATCCCAGAATATCAAGGCAGGAAATCCCATATTATTTGAGTGTGGTCACAGGGCCTGTCCACACAGCCATACATCCCAGAATATCAAGGCAGAAAATCCCACAATATCTGAGTTATCCGAATTCATGCTCTGATAATGTGAGATTTTCTGCCTTTATATTCTGGGATATAGGGCTGTGTGGAAGGGCCCCGGAGCCAGGCCCATAGCCAGGATTTCGATTCGGGGGGGGGGGGGGGGTGAGTTTTTGGTTCGGGGGGGGCTGAGTTTGGGGGGGGATGAGTCTGAGTGAAAGAGGGTCTACCCTAGCAAACCTTTTGTATCATTACCCCAATACCCCCATGCATATGGGATATATTGAGTATGGTGATCAGATCATGATATGAATAAACATAACAGTTTAAATAATGCACCAGTAAGGCCTTTTCGCGAACCACCATGAGAATTTCGGGGGGGGGAGGCTGAAGCCCCTCAAGCCCCCCTCCCCCCGGCTACATGCCTGCCTGGAGCATGCAATGTATCCTTTCCTAAGACACTGCCAATGACAATGCTGGCAGTAACAACCAAGTCTCACCTCATTAAGACATCCCATAATCAATGATCACAAGAGGGTCAGCAGACCCAACCGGGACATACTCCCTCTGTCCATTTCCCTGCATTGGTCATCCACTAAGTGTCAAATGCTGTCCCTGCCCTACAACCAGGCCTGGAAACCAGACTGAAATTAATCTAGACCATCTGTTTCATCCAGAAACCCTTAAACATGGAAGGCCGCCATACCCTCCAATACCCTGTGAAGCCCCCCTTATCTACTTGGACTTTGCTATGTCCAACGTCTACCCACTTCTTGCCCTGCAGATCAAGGTGAACATCCTGGGGGAAGTGGTGGAGCAAGGCAGCACCAGCTTCCCGGTGGATGCACCAGGCTTCAACCTCCATGCCGCCATCTACGCTGCCAGACCAGACGTCCGGTGCATCGCCCACCTCCACACTCCGGCCACCATGGCAGTGAGTACAGCCGGGCCCCCTGCTTGCAGGACAAAAGCAACAGAGAGCCTGATGTATGGGATGGGAGGAGGAGAAGGAGCCCAAGAGGGAGGTGGAAGGGTTGAGGCTGGACACTGGGATGTGAATGTTTACATATTTAGAATCATAGAGTCATAGATCTGGAAGGGATCCCATGGGCCATCTAGTCCAATCCCCTTCTTTCTGCAATGCAGGAAAAGCACTATCAAAGCACCCCCAAACAGATGGCCATTATTTATAACTATCGAACCCTAGAGTTCGATACGTGGGGCTGCCCTTGAAGACGGCTCGGAAACTGCAATTGGTCCAGCGGGCAGCAGCCAGGATGCTAACTGGAGCTCATTATCAAGAGAGGTCTACCCCTCTGTTTAAGGAGCTCCACTGGCTGCCATTTATTTTCCGAGCCCAATTTAAGGTGCAGGTGCTCACCTACAAAGCCCTGAACGGTTTGGGACCACCCTACCTGCGTGACCGCATCTCCATCTACGAACCCACACGCTCGTTCATCATCTGGGGAGGCCCTGCTCGTGATCCCACCTACGTCGCAAGCGCGCTTGGTGGGGACACGGGACAGGGCCTTTTCCGTGGTGGCCCCCCGACTCTGGAACGCCCTTCCAAAAGATCTCCGACAGTCCCCTACATTAGCAGTTTTCAGGAGGAATTTGAAAACCTGGCTGTTCCGTTGTGCCTTCTCGGATTAGGAATCCCCATCCCAAGTCCTAGTAGCATTTTAGCACAATTAACATCGCTGCACACCGCACTTTTAATTCCCACGCCCCTCCTGCCATTCCAGCACTTTTAACCTTGTACCCATTTACGCCGGCCGAACCAGTTTTAATATGTCTTGATGTATTGTCATTGCTGTTTTGCTTAATTGTTGATTTGTGTTGTTTTGCTATGTTATGTTTTCTATTATATTGTGTTTGTGGCTTCAGCCTGTGTAAGCCGCATCGAGTCCTTCGGGAGATGCTCGCGGGGTACAAATAAAGTTAATAATAATAATAATAATAGAGTTGGAAAGGACCACTTGGGTCATCTAGTCCAAACCCATTCTTTTTGCAAGAAAGGTACAAAAAAACCCTAGACAGATGGCCACCCAGCCTCTGATTATTATTATTATTTTAATTATTTTAATTATTATTATTATTATTATTGAATCTTAGAGTTGAAAGTGACCTCTAAAGGCCATTTAGTCTAACCCCTACCTGTTTTCATGCAGGGAAAGCACAATCAAAGCATTCCTGGCAGATGGCTATCCAGCCTCTGTTTCAAAGCCTTCAAGGAAGGAGCTTCCACTAGATTCCATTGTTGAGCAGCTCTTCTTATGGTCATAAAGTTCTTCCCAATGTTTAAGAGGAATCTCCTTCCCTGTCATTTGAATCCATGGCTCCATTGAGTCCCAGTCTCCAGGGCAGCAGAAAGAAAGCTTGCTCTGTCCTCCTTATGACATCCTTCCACATATGTTACATATTTACCTACATTGTGCAGGAACATCCAAAGTGTTGGTGCAGCCTTTGGCCACCACACATTCCTGACAGAAGGACGGGCCGAGGCACTGACCAACCTCTGCTGCTCCCTTTCCAGGTGTCGGCTATGAAGCAGGGCCTCCTGCTGATTTCCCATGATGCCCTGCTGGCCGGAGAGATGGTCTCCATTGACTTCAATGGCGAGATGGAGGATGAAGCGGATCGAGTGGAACTGCAGAAGCGCCTTGGACCCACCTGCAAGGTCAGCACGCCTCGCTCTTGGACCAGGGTCCATCTGCACAGTAGAGCATTATTTGACATTATGCTATTTCACAACACAATTACATGCCTTCCCCAGCACACATCACAAACAACACACCCATCCCTCTGCACTCCCACCACCACTGCTCAGCCTCCAATGCTACATCAATGCAAAGCCATGGAGTTACAGCTCTAGGATGAAAGCTGTCTCTCAGTCTGTTTGTCCTTGTCTTTGTGCCAGATCCTGCATTCCTTACAGATCTGGCACACTTTCTGAAAAGAAAAGGGACTTCTTTTGTAGAATCTTTTCGTTGTTATTGTTCTTGATTGCTTGACAACCTGTCATTCAGCTCAGACTTTCTGAAGCTCCATCAATTCCGAAACAGATGTTGTTTTTCTTCCTTAATGTAAGGAATCGTTGTTTCTGACTTCCCGAGCTTAAAGAGTAATTGTCTCTGACTTTGTCAACATGTGTTGTTTACACCAAAAGTTCCCAGGTCAGTTATGTCAGTTCAGTTCACTTTTCTCTTTCCTAAGTTAATCCAACCTTCACCTCCTTCATCATGCCATTTTAAGGTTTCAGTAGGCTGGTGTCTTCAGTTTTGGCAAGCTTTAATAGGCTCCTAGGCAGACCGTAATCATACCATTTCATTCAATCCACTCATCACAAAATAGCATTGACTTTGCAGTGTAGATGCCCACCCCCCTCCAGCTGCTATTTAGGCACAATGGCACCTGAGGCGTAGCTCTCTAAGCTGGACATGAGACCACAATTTGGGACCTCCTCGAAGCAACATGAGAAGGACTTAACATGGAGGCAGATCTGAGCATTTCCTTCTTCCAATGGCTGTTTCTTGCTGGCAGGTCTTAGTGATGCGGAACCATGGCATCGTGGCCCTTGGAGACACTGTGGAGGAGGCCTTCTACAAGATCTTCCACCTGCAGGCTGCCTGTGAAGTCCAGGTGAGACACAACAGAAGGAGAAAGGAGAATCTGTCTTGCATACAAGTGACATAAATATATGGATTTATGGGTATGATATGTATGGAGCCAGTATGGCATAGGGGTTGGAGAATAGAGTTTGATTTCCCAATTGGCCATGGAAACCCACTTGGCCAAGTCATGCTCTTTCAGCCACAGAAAACCTTAGGACAGTGATGGGCAACCTTTTGAGCTTGGTGTGTCAAAATTTGGCAAAAACCTGACCATAACTTGGATGGGGTGTCAACTTCAAGAAAAAATAAACGTAATTTTGAAATATTTATAGTTTAAATTAAAAAAAATGTATATTCCATGCTGAGTTATGGAGTGAACAATGCTCAAACATGCAGATGTTACATTTGTAGAGCCTTTTACAAATATAAGGATGGAATTAGATTGGCTCTTATAAGGTGTACTTCTCTGTATGCGGCCGCATGTGGCCGTGTGTCATCAAAAATAGCCATGTGTGTCAGTGCTGACACGCGTGTCATAGGTTCACTATCACGGCCTTAGGATTCCCATGAGTTGGAGACAACATATGCAGACATCAAGTATCTATGCATTCATCTATAAGTTATCCATATATCTATAGACCTGTATATATATGCAAACATCTGTTCTCTATTTAATTATCTCATCTATCTATCTATCATCTATCTATCTATCTATCTATCTATCTATCTATTACATTCATCTGTCCATCATCCATCTATCTCTATCCTATCTTATTCTATCCTATCTATTAATCTATCTGTCTCTCCATCTATACATGTATCTATTTATTTATTTATCAATCTATCAAATTTATATCTACCCATATGTTCATCTGCCCACCATCTATCTATCTCTATCTCTGTCCTATCCATCCATTCATCTGTCTTCTTTCTCTCCCTATCTAGTCATCTATCTATCTTTCAGTCATATCTATCTGTTTGTCCTCTACCTAATTATGCATTCATGTCTATGTATTTGTATATCTATATGTGCTATCTCTCTATACATTCATCTATCATATCTGTCATACCTCTCTGCATTCACCTGTCCATTATCTATCTCAGGGGTCCTCAAACTAAAGCCTGGAGGCCGGATACGGCCCTCCAAGGTCGTTTACCCAGCCCTCGCTCAGGGTCAACCTAAGTCTGAAACAACTTGAAAGTACACAACAACAACAATCCTATCTCATCAGCCAAAAGCAGGCCCATACTTCCCATTGAAATACTAATAAGTTTATATTTGTTAAAATTATTCTTCATTTTAATTATTGTTTTGTTTTAAAGTGTTTTTTGCACTACAAATAAGATATGTGCAGTGCGCATAGGAATTCATTCATATTTTTTTCAAATTAAAATCCAGCCCTCCAACAGTTTGAGGGACTGTGACCTAGCCCTCTGTTTAAAAAGTTTGAGGACCCCTAATCTATCCTATCTGTCTGTCTGTCAGTCAGTCTTTCTATCTATACCAGGGGTCCTCAAACCTTTTAAGCAGAGGGCCAGGTCACAGTTCCTCAAACTGTTGGAGGGTCGGATTATAATTTTAAAAAAGAACATAATTTGAATTCCTATGCAACCTGCCCATACCTTATTTGTAGTGCAAAAAAACACTTTAAAACAATACAGTAATTAAAATGAAAAACAATTTTAACAAATATTAACTTATTAGTATTTCAATGGGAAGTGTGGGCCTGCTTTTGGCTGACGAGATAGAATTGTTGTTGTTGCTGTTGTGTGCTTTCAAGTTGTTTCAGACTTAGGTTGACCCTGAGCGAGGGCCGGGTAAACGACCTTGGAGGGCCGTATCCGGCCCCCGGGTCATAGTTTGAGGACCCCTGATCTATACAGTCATCTGTCCATCATCTACCTAATTATGCAGCCATCTGTTTATGTATTTGCGTGTCTGTCTTCTCTCAATGTATACATTTGTTTATCATATCTATCATCTTTCTTGCGCTCTCTGTATTCATCTGTCCATCATCTATATCACTCTCGCTATCGATCTTTCATCTCATCAAATCAAATCATTTATTTCAGTCAAAGACCAGTACAGGAAATAAAAGTCACATTTTCATACAAACATGGTACATTTAGTACATTTAAAATGTAAATATAAATACTGAAGCACAATAGCAGGTGAGGGAGCGGAAGGAGAAACAGGGCAAAAACATACAATGCACAGGTCTATCAGCAAATTATAGAATCAAGGAAGGTGATTACTGGATACACAGCTAACTTTTGGAACCAGTAATCCCCTGACGGATTTTGTATGCTTCTGCACAAAACTTTGCAACATTACATGTTGTAGCTGAATCTACAAGTAGCAAGGAGGCATAACATTGTCCTGAACAGCCTGGGTACTTGTATATCAGAGGTAAGATAAGTCTGGCACGGATACAGGGGCGGCTCAACCCATTACGCAGAGTAAGCATTTGCAGTATAGTTGATTTTGCCCAGGGGCACTCTTGAGGCGCTCTTGGGGGAAAATAGACCTTGACATATGTGAGTTGTATTTACTGGGATATATAGTTCACCTACAATCAAAGAGCATTCTGAACTCCACCAATGATGGAATTGAACCAAATATGGCACACAGAACTCCCATGACGAACAGAAAATATACATCAGTGATTGGTTGGAGGGGGCACCAAAATACTGTTTGCTTACCGTTGAAAATTACCTAGGGCTGCCTCTGCATGGATATCATATCTATCATCTTTCTCTCTCTCTCTGTATTCATCTGTCCATCATCTATCACTCTAGCTATCTCTCTCTCTTTCTCTCTTTCTTTTCTGTCCCTCTGTCTCTTTCTCCCACTCAAAGCCGGTTGCCTTCACCCGGTTCCAGGTCCCATGGCCAGCCTCTCCTTTGCTGCTATGCCATTGTCCTCCCTTCTGGACATCATCCTACTTCTTCAGCTGGAAATAACTAGGTCAGGCACTTGCTACCCAGGCCTAGCGCAAGGGTGCCCCCTGCAGTCAAAGGGCTGCAACGACCAGCTCAAGGCCAGGCAGGAAGGTAGTAATAGTAATAGTATTTACTCCAGTGTAATGCTCCCCTTTTTGAGCTAAACGACCTTGCCAAAATTGAGGTACGCATTACATTTGCATTATAAGGTTCTCTTAGTGCTGAGCCAAAGCCAAAAGGGAAGCTACTTCAGGAGCTCCTCTATGAGGGACCTCCAGGGACGGCCCCAGGTAATTTTCAGCGGTAAGCAAACAGAATTTTGGCGCCACCCCCCAACCAATCATTGAAAAATTATATATATATACACATACACACGGTGGCGCAGTGGGTTAAAGCACTGAGCTGCTGAGCTTGTTGATCGAAAGGTCGCAGGTTCGATTCTGGGGAGCGGCGTGAGCTTCCGCTGTCAGCCCTAGCTTCTGCCAACCTAGCAGTTCGAAAACATGCAAATGTGAGTAGATCAATAGGTACCGCTCCGGCGGGAAGGTAACGGCGCTCCATGCAGTCATGCCGGCAACATGACCTTGGAGGTGTCTACGGACAACGCTGGCTCTTCGGCTTAGAAATGGAGATGAGCACCACACCCCAGAGTCAGACATGACTGGACTTAATGTCAAGGGACTGCCTTTACCTTTACACACATGCATACACACTCCTTTGAGGCACGAAGAGGGCCTCGGTGGCAGCAGCTTCCCCCTCTGCCACTCCACACTCCTTCCTCGTCAGGCTGTGCGCCAGGCTTGGGAGCCCAGCCTGGTGAGGAAGGGAAACTTTGAGGCATGGAGCAATGGAGAGGCAAGAAGGAGGCCGCTGCCAAAGAAGGCTTCGGCAGCTTCCCTCTCACCCCTCCGCTGCTCCTTCCTCACCAGGCTGGGCGCCAGGCTTGGGAGCCCAGCCTGGCGAGGAAGGCATGCTCCCTGCATGAGTCCTCTTTTCCCTCTCACAGCATTAGGAAGTTTGCGCCCTGCATCGCCCCTCCTTCCCCGTACACTGTCTAACGCCGGGAGAGGGATGCACGGCGTCCCCCCAAGACGCACGCTCTAAGCAAAAGTGTAATTTGCGTACCGCCTTGAGCCACCCCTGGGGACCTCCCCTCTCTTTTAATTCCATTGACTCAATGCCATGGGCTCCTGGGATTTGTAGTTTGATGAGGCATCCGCATACTTTGGCGGAGAAAGCTCAAGGCCTTCCAAAGCTGCATCCCCCAAGTCTCCACAGCATTGAAACCAGGCAATTAAAGTGCATTATTTCTGCAGCATAGATGCACCCCAAGATTTTCCATTACATTGCTGAAAGTTTTGGTGTTCTAACACAATTACCGGTATTTATAACCAAGGAATTCTAAGCAAGCAGCAAGTGCAATGACCAAATGACAAAGAGTGCACTTTTTGCCGCTGTACATTACATTCAGTAGCAAATCTATATATATATATATATATATATATATATATATATATATATATATATATCTTTTTGGTTTCAGGGATTTCCAAACTGAGGTGCACAGTGTAGGACTGTACACAGTCCATTTTTGAAAATGGGTTCTGGATGGTTTGGGGGATTTGTTTGGCGAATGCATGAAAACAAGCCAGGTGGGGGGCTGCCGAAGCCTTTGCCAGAACAGATCACAGCAACCAGAACTTTTTGGCAAATGGGGGCTAACAATGGGGATCAATGGGGCTGAGCGAGCAGCACTCTACACAAGGTGGAGGTCATGGCAAGTGCATAGGGCAGCCACATTAATCAAGAAAGCTGTGTATCCTCCTTTGCTTTCTTCCCCATCAGGGTCCTCCATCCCATCTTGAAGTCAAATGGGAACTTGCTTTCCCACTAGCACTTTGTGTGGCGCAAGCATTGAAGGAGCCTTGTGCTTCCTCCCAAGGAGTTGAGGTTTTTCTCTCTGTGTGGGTCTCACTTTCTTTCTCAGCCAATCAGTCGTGACTCTAGTCATTCTCCTTGCTTTCTTGTGGCATGCACATTCCCAGAATCCCCTCTTGTGGGTTTTTTTTTTTAAAAAAGAATGTTGTGTTAAAAACTTTAATAAAAATCCAAAAAAAATTTCGTGCATTGGTGAAATGTTCTGAAACTTGGCAGGCTTGCAGAAGTAAATGTGGCCTACAAGTGAGGGGAGTTTCATGCTGATAGGTCTAAAAATGACAGAGAAATGAACCTCTAAAGCAGTGGTTCTCAACCTTCCTAATGCCGTGACCCCTTAACAGAGTTCCTCGTGTTGTGCTGACCCCCACCACAACATTATTTGTGTTGCTACTTCATAACTATAATTTTACTACTGTTTTGAATCATAATGTAAATATCTGATATGTAGGATGTATTTTCCTTCATTGAACCAAATTTGGCACAAATACCCAATATGCCCCAATTTGAATATTGGTGGGGTTGGGGGGATTGATTTTTTCATTTGGAAGTTGTAGTTGCTGGGATTTATAGTTCACCTACACTCAAAGAGTATTCTGAACTCCACCGGCAATGGAACGGAATCAAATTTGGCACACAGAACTGCTATGACCCACTGAAAATACTGGAAGGGTTTGGTGGGTATTGACCTTCAGTTTTGGAGTTGTAGTTCACCTACATCCAGAGAGCAACAATGATGGATCTGGACCAAACTTGGCATGAATATTCAATATGCCTAAATGTGGACACTGGTGCGGTTTGGGGAGGATAGACCTTGACATTTGAGAGTTGTAGTGCCTGGGATTTATAGTTCACCTATAATCAAAGAGCATTCTGAACTCCACCAATGATAGAATTGGGCCAAACTTCCCACACAGATCCCCCATGACCAACAGAAAATACTGTGATTTGTAATGGAACGGAATCAAATTTGGCACACAGAACTGCTATGACCCACTGAAAATACTGGAAGGGTCTGGTGGGTTTTGACCTTCAGTTTTGAAGTTATAGTTCACTTACATCCAGAGAGCAACAATGATGGATCTGAACCAAACTTGGCACGAATACTCAGTATGCCCAAATGTGACCACTGGTGGAGTTTGGGGGAAATAGACCTTGACATTTGGAGTTGTGGTTGCTGGGATTTATAGTTCACCTACAATCAAAGAGCATTTGGACACCAATGATAGAATTGGACCAAACTTCCCACACAGAACCCCCATGACCAACAGAAAATACTGTGATTTCTGATGGTCTTTGGAAACCCCTTTGACACCCCCTCGTGACCCACCCAAGGGTCCCAACCCCCAGGTTGAGAATCACTGCTTTAAAGTTTCCACGTTGGGGCCAATGGACCAAAATAGAAACCTGAATTTGGAGATTTCCCTAAAAACAGGAAGGGAGGGGGGGTGGCACCAGACGCTGAAAATCGCACTGGCTTCTGCCAAATTGCACACCCCTCTTGCGCATTAGATTTGATGGAGCATTAAACTTGAGTCAATACGGGTAGTAGTAGTAGTAGTAGTAGTAGTAATAAGTGCAGGAGGAGAATGATACCTGACTCCCTCCCGCTAGATTGCAGCCTTGTCCAGCGGGGCAGAGAGCCTCATCGTCCTGGAGCGGGAGAAGCACCGCCCACACGAAGTGGGCTCCGTCCAGTGGGCAGGAAGCACCTTCGGACCCATGCGGAAGAGCCGCCTCGGGGAGCACGAGTTCGAGGCTCTGATGCGGATGCTGGACAACCTCGTAAGTGGCCCTTCTGCTGCAAAGGGTAAACCGGGCACCAACCGGGATCCCAATGCTTGCAAACAGTTGTGCAGCTTAGAATCATAGCATCTCAAAACTGGCAGGGATCCCAGGGGCCATCCAATCCATCCCCACTCTTCCAAGCAGGAAGAGATGCAGCCAAAGCCCTCCCGACAGACAGCCATCCAGCCTTTGCTTAACAACCTCCAGAGAAAGAAGGAGTCTCCACCATCTTTGCAAACTTGCACAAGGAAGCCTGCAAATAATAATAATAATAAAAAAATTATTTCTTACCCACCTCTCCTCGTGGCTTGAGGTGAGTTGCGGCATAATTTAAGCACATAAGCATGGTAAAAATGCCACAAATACATATATCAAAAGATATTTCTATAAAAGATACATATTAAAATGTATTTCTATAAAATATATATTAAAATACCCCTCCTTCATGAGTTCTTGATTCTTAGCTGCTGGCCTCCATGCATAGGATGAAACCCAACTTCAGTCAAGCCATCCTTCGCACTGAGGATGGAAAAAAAATAAGAATTAGAAAATTAATGTTGTTGTTGTTGTTGTTAGGCAGAGGCTGGATGGTCATTTGTTGAGGGGGACTTTGATGGCAGAAGGGGGCTTGATTAGATGGCCCTTGGGGTTTCCTCTAACTATTATTATTATTATTATTATTATTATTATTATTATTATTAATGTTAATATTGAGGTTAGATAGCCATCTGTCGGGAGGGCTTTGATTGTGCTTTTCCTGCCTGAGGGTTGAACTAGATGGCCCATGTAGTCTATTCCAAATCTTATATTGTCATTATCATTATTAAGGCTGTATGGCGAGCTGTTGGGAGGGTTTTGATGTTGCTTTTTCGGCATGAAGGTAGAAGGGGGTTGGGCTGGTTGGCTGATGCAGTCTCTTCCAACTCTATTATTATTATTATTATTATTATTATTATTATTATTATTATTGTTATTATTATTTGAAACACAACAAGATGAGTCCACAGCAGACACTCTGCTGGCTGTTGAACTGGATCACATGTCGGACACTTCCCAAGTGTCTAGGACTGTGTGATGTATCGGCAAATAATGTGTGCAGATCCCAGTAAGGTGGTCTTCTGCAACTGGCAGATGGCTATTACTATTATTGTTGTTGTTGTTGTTGTTAAGCAGAGGCTGGATGGCCATTTGTTGAGTGGGGCTTTGATGGTGCTTTCCCTGCATGAAGGCAGAAGGGGGCGGGACTAGATGACCCTTGGGGGTTTCTTCCAACTATTATTAATATTAATATTAATACTGAGGTTGGATGGCCATCTATCGGGAGGGCTTTGATGGCGCTTTTCCTGTCTGACAGAAGGGGTTGAACTCAATGGCCCATGCAGGCTATTCCAAATCTTATATTATTATTATTATTATTATTATTATTATTATTATTATTATTATTGAGGAAGGATGGCCATCTGTCGGGAGGGCTTTGACTGTGCTTTTCCTGCATGGAGGCAGAAGGGGGTTGGACTAGATGGCCTTTGGGGTCCTTTCCACCTCTATCATTATCATTATCATTATTGAGGCTGGATGGCCATCTGTCAGGTAGCTTTGATGGTGCTTTCCCTGCATGAAGGAAGAAGGGGGTTGACTAGATAGCCCTTGGGGGTCCCTTCCAGCTCTAAGAGTCTATGAGCCTGTGCTGCCGGATGGCCCTGAATGCAGAATCTGTGGCAGCGCCGCCTCTGTCCCGCCAGGGCTTCCGGACGGGCTACGCCTATCGGCATCCATTTGTCCAGGAGAAGGCCAGGCACCGGAGCGAGGTGGAGATCCCAGCCACGGTGACGGCCTTCCTCTTTGAGGACGATGAGGCAGTGGCAGCAGGGACCCAATTCTCGGCCCTGCGGCAACATGCCCAGAAGCAGCAGAAGGAGAAGACCCGCTGGCTCAACACTCCCAACACCTACCTGCGGGTCAACAAGGAGAGCAGCCAGCACACCAAGACCACCGTGAGTAGGCCGCCCAGAAGAGGAGCACTTCTCTCCTGGTAGACACTTGCATCATCACCACCACCACCATCATCAAGATTACTTTATGTACTCGAGTCTCATGTTCACCGTTTCGGGGCTAAATGAGCATTAGATCTGCATCATACAATGATCTTAGAGCTGAGCCAAAGCAAAAGGAGCTCCTCTTTGAGGGACTTCATCTCTCATTTCATGGCCCAATGCTATACCATGCTGTGATTTGTAGTTTGGTGAGGCATCAGCCTTTTTTGGCATCTTCCATGATCCCGAACTACAGCCCCCATCATTCCATAGCATTGAGTCAGAGCAGTTAAAGTGCATTCATTCTGCAGCAGAGATGCACCTCGAGGTTTTCCTTTCCGTTGCTGGACGTTTTGGTGCTTTAAGAAAGAACCCTAAGCTAGCAGCAACTGTAATGCACACCTTTTGGGGCCAAAGAGGGCACTTTTGGCTTTTTGCGCATGACACTCATCATCATCATCTTCATATTTAATTACTTATTAATCGCCCTCCATCCGAGAATGCTCTAGGTGATTTACAGCTAAATTGTAAAAGATAAAATACATACATACAGAAATAAAAAATTAACAGAGATCGAATGCTCTAGTAAAAAGCCAGGTCTTAAGTGCTAGAGTAAAAGGTCCTAAGTCACGCATGGCTCTCATATAGGGCGGCAAGGAATTCCAAAAGGCAGGGGCAGAAATAGAAAAAGCCCTGCGTCTGGTACTTTCCAAGTGCACTTTTCTAGGACCCGGTATATAGGGTAAGTCACATTGGGCTGTAAGTCACTCGCCAGCAAATACTTCCCAAAGCAGGGCACATTTCTCCTTTCCAAACCTGGACTTGTTCTTCCTAGAAAGGTCCTTCTGCTCCCCAAACTTCTGCTCTGAATCCCCTTCGGGGTGAGAAGGGTGGCACATAAATGGCGTAAATAAATAAATATATAAATACATAAACTTGACTTCTTTGACATTTGTTTTATGTTCTTTTTAAAAAATATATTTTATTGGTTTTCTTAGAATACATCAATACATCAATACCTTCAATACTCTTATATTCCATCCTTAATTCATTACATCAACCATAAGTGTGTATATATCTTGTGTGTGTGTGTGTGTGTGTGTGTGTGTGTGTGTATTCACCTCTGTGCCCCCCCCCCTCCGAGCCACTTCAATTTACATTCTCTTTCCAAAATACCATTTTTTCTTGTGGAGGTAATTTCCCATCTACTTCTTTTAAGCCATTCTCAATAAATTTTCCCCAAAGTTTATCAAAGTTGTTTTTCTTCCATACCCCTTTCCTGACTCTTAACCTACATGTCAATTTATTGTTTATTGCTATTTTCCATAGTTCTTTATACCATTCTTCAATTGATACATTTATTTTACCTTTCCAATTCTTCGCTATCAGTAATCTTGCTGCGGTTAACATGTTATCTATTGCATCTTACTTTGTTTTTTTCAATTTCTTAACATTATATAGTTGCAACAATGCAATGCTTGCACTTTTCCCTATCTTCATATTCATTATAGCTTCTATCTCTCCAAATACCTTCCCCCAAAATTCATTTACGTATTTACATTGCCACCACATATGTATATATGTGCCCACCTCCTGGCAACCTCTCCAACAATTTTTTGTAGTATTCTTATTATTTTATTTATTTATTTATTTATTTATAATTCAAACTTATATGCCGCCACTCCCCTTGGGCTTGGAGTGGCTTACAAGAACAGGCTAAAATCTAACACAATTTTAAAACAATTTAATTTCAATTTAATATTAATATTTGCAATCTTCACTGGTGTTAAGTACCATTTCCAAACCAATTTATAATAATTTTCTTTAACACGTATCGATAAATTCTTTAAATATCTTTGATCCCATAATTGTACCCAATCCGCTTCTTTTATTCTAATCCCTAGGTCTTCCTCCCATATCTCTCTTAGTGTTGCGTCCCTTATTTTTCCCTCTTAATATCAATTATTATCTTATGCAATTTGCTGGTTATTCCTTTCAGCTTATGATATCCTCCCATAGCTCTTTCTTTTTGTATCATTTGTTCAACTTGCGTAAGTTTGCCTCCTTCCCCATTATTTTTTATCCAATTCTTGAACCATTGCTCTAACTGTAAGCAATGGAACCATGAGAGTTTAATATCTCTAAATTCTCTCAATATAGTTTCCTTCCTCATGTTTGCTTTTATCCAGTCTCCAATTTTATCTATATTCTTCTCTCTTATTTTTTATCTAATATGGTTTTTTTTTAATTTTTGGGGAATTTTCCATCCATTATTATTGGTGTTAGTGTTGAACTTTCTGATAATAATATTTCCTTGTATCTATTCCAAATTCCTAGCACATTTCTCAACATTGGGTTTTTATTCTCTTAATTTCTTTCCTTTTTATATCCTTAAAAAATAAACATTTGTTTTATGTCCTAAGCTATTTCAGGGCAATGGTTTATGTGGAAAGTTGGAATATAAGTGAAGATGATACTGGATAGTAATCGGATGTTCTTTTCCAGTGGATGAAAGCGGATGAAGTGGAGAAGTCCAGCAGCGGGACGCCGATCCGGATTGAGAACCCAAACCAATTTGTGCCTCTCTACACAGACCCACAGGAAGTTCTGGAAATGAGGAACAAGGTATGGGCTTGCCTCCTTGCCCATTGAGTGCAGCCTCGAAAGCTATCGGGGGAACATATATGATGGAAACTCCTGAAATGCTGGGAATTGTGTTGAGGCTTTTACCCCTGCTTATGCTTTGCAGATCCGAGAGCAAAACCGCCAGGAAGTGAAGTCCGCCGGGCCCCAATCACAGCTGCTTGCCAGCGTCATCGCCGAGAAAAGCCGGAGCCCAGTACTTTCATTATATTCCTAATAGGAAAAATGATAGATAGATGTGAGGAATCTGGAGGAATAAGCGCCTTAGCACTGTACGATAATGGGACGTTAATGGGTCCAGAGATGGGAACAAAAAATTTGATCGTGGCAATCAAATACATTCCCAATAAGGTTCCAATTAAATTATTATTATTATTATTATTATTATTATTATTATTATTCATAAATACATACATAGGGTTGTTGTAGGTTTTTCCAGGCTATATGGCCATGTTCTAGAGGCCTTTTCTCCTGACGTTTCGCCTGCATCTATGGCAAGCATCCTCAGAGGTAGTAAGGTCTGATGGAAGTAGGAAAATGGGTTTATATATCTGTGGAATGACTGGGGTGGGACAAAGGACTTTTGTCTGCTGCAGTTAGGTGTGAATGTTTCAACTGACCACCTTGATTAGCATTTAATGGCTTGGAAGTGCCTGGGGGAATCTTTTGTTGAGAGTGATTTGATGTCCTTTCTGTTGAAATTGTTCATATGCTTGTAGATTTCAGTGGCTTCTCTGTGTAGTCTGGAAAGGAGGAAACCATGAAAATGAACAAAATCTGGCTACCAGTATTAAAAAACTCAAAAATTACAACAGCAAAACAACAGAGAGTAAACAATCAGACACATCAAATCACCTCTCAACAAAAGATGCCTGTCCTGTTCTTCCACTGCAGTCAATGGATGGCCTCCTGTCTGACGGAGGGGTAAGAGGAGAGACCCAGGAGGATGCACCACTCGAACCCGAGCCCCCGAACCCCTTCAGCCAGCTCACCGACCAGGAACTGGAGGAATACAAGAAGGAAGTGGAGAGAAAGAAGCTGGGCATTGATGGTAAGCCAGCATCCTTGCAGGTGGACGGGTTGCTGCTAAGGACTAGAAGCATGCCAGAACGGAAGCGTCGCTATCGATATCCTGCTATATAATGGCTCAAAGTTTGGGAATCCTGGGAGTTGTAGTTTTGCAAGGTCTTTTGCCTTCTCTGTTAATTGCACTTACCAAGTTCCACATAGCATTGAGCTGTGGCATCTCAACGGGGTGCTAAACTGCATTAGTCCTACAGTGTAGCTGCACCAGTTGATAGTAATGGGGTGCAGGGTGGAAGAGGCCAGTCGCCAGAGAGATTTCCCAATAAAAATATGCTTCAGAAACAAAGTGTGTGCAATTGAATAAACTTTCCCCATATTGTAATGATAGAACCAAATGACATTGATAACCCAGGAACAATAAGCGTGTTACAGAATGTTATAATGGATTGGAAGAGGGGAGTGAGGGCCAACAACAACAACATAAGCAACCCTAGGGATGCATGCCTTTCTGACTTTCTTTTCCCCCAAACCTAATGTTCTGTTCCTGCTTCCCTCCTTCCAGGTGAGAAGGACACCAGCCTTGAGGAAGACCCGCTGTCGGCCGCCGGGGAACGGAGCCCCTCCAAGACCAGGAGCCCCCCAACGTCTCCCTCCAAGCCTCTGGAAGGTAAGGCCCGGCCTTTTGGCAAGGCTTCCTGCAATTCACACTTTCCATACAACTCCATTGGCCACACTAGGCTTCATCAGGCTTGCCCACGGAAGATGAATAGAGTGGGATTTATGGGGGAACAGCACTCAATAGAGTCCCAGATTGGACTCTGGAACTGATGGCTGTAGCATGGAGTGGGGCCAATGTATATGTGGCTTCAAAATCAGAAAAATGAATCAGTCCATGGATTCACATTGCAAGAGGTGCATATCAGGAGAGAGAGAGAGAGAGAGAGAGAGAGATTGTTAGTGGTGGTTAAAGCACTGGATGATGACTCTGGGCCCTGGGTTCGAATCTCTCCTCAGCCGTGGACACCCACTGAGGAAGCACCAGGCGAGTTGCACTTTCTCAGTCTGAGGTAAAGGCAAAGCTAAACTGTAGCCCCATATTTCTTCAGAGAGATTTTGCCTTTATAGGAAGCAGAAAGAATGGCTCGAGGGCATCTACACTGCAGCATGAATGCAGTTTGACACCCCTTAAGCTGCCCCAGCTCAATGCTGTGGAATCCTGAGAATTGCAATTCACAATCTTTAGCAGAGAAGGCGAAAGACCTTGGAAAACTACAACTCCCACAATGGCATAGCAGTGAACCATGGCAGTTCAAATGGTGCCAAACTGCATTCATTCTATCATGTAGCTGCACATCCCTGAAAACCTGTATGATGCTGAGGAATCCTGGGAGTTGCTGTTTGGCAAGGTCTGGAGCCTTCTCTGCACAAGGAACTGATGCTTGTTCAAACCAGGAATCCCAAGATCCCATAGCATTGAACCAGGGCCGTTAAAGGGGTGTCCAATTGCATTGATGGCAAAAAGCCCCCAGGTTCAGTTGTTGTTGTTGTTATATTGTATTGTATTGCATTGCGTTGCATTTATCCCCCGCTTTATCTCTCCCAGAGGAGACTCACAGTGGCTATGCATATCTATTATTATGATTATTATATTTATACCCCACTTTATCTCCCCTGGAGAAGATTGAAAGTGGCTTGATATAAAAACATCAGCATACAATTTAAAATATATCAATGTGTAAGGGGGCTTGCAGTTCTCCCAACTAGACGCTCTCCCTTGGACTATAGTCTCCATCACCCACAGGCAGAATGCCCAATAGCTATGTGAAGTGCACATGATGGATCCAGGACGGCGAGTGATGGAGGCCAGCTCTCATGTCCATTGGGGCACAGCAGGGTGGCAGGCCTATCCATCCCTTTCCCACCAGCAGGATCCATTGGCATTAACACTGAAGCTCATTATATGGTTGGTGTAGATTCACATCATTTATTTACAGCTTTTATATGATAATGCAGTTAAACTGCATTATCATCTAGAAATGTAGACGGCACAATTCAGAGATCACTCATAGGAGAGGAGCGAAAACACCCGTATGCCATGCCCTGATTGATAAGAGAAGAGACTTCTGTGAATCTCAGGCATAATACGTCAGGACTGAGGGATGTTTATTATCTCTATGTACTCCCTATGCTATTTATTCAGTATGTAGAGATTGTAAATAAGAAACTTATGATGATGAGGGTGATCATAGAATCATAGAGTTGGAAGAGACCAGTCCAACCCCCTGCCAAGAAGCAGGAAAATCGCATTCAAAGCACCCCCAACAGATGGCCAGCCAGCCTCTGTTTAAAAGCCTCCAAAGAAGGAGCCTCCACCACACTCCAGTGCAGACAGTTCTATTGCTGAACGGCTGTCACAGTCAGGAAGTTCTTCCTGATGTTCAGATGGAATCTCCTTTCTTGTAGTTTGAAGCCATTGCTCTATGTCCTAGTCTCCAGGGAAGCAGAAAACAAGCTTGCTCCCTCCTCCCTGTGACTTCCTCTCACATATGTATACATGGCTATCATATCTCCTCTCAGCCTTTTCTTCTTCAGGCTAAACATGCCCAGCTCTTTAAGCTGCTCCTCATAGGGCTTGTTCTCCAGACCCTTGATCATTTTAGTCGCCTTCCTTGGGACACACCTCGGAGAGATAGAGCAGTATATAAATAAAGTTTTTTTATTATTATTATTATTATTATTATTATTATTATTATTATTATTATTATCATCATCATCATCATCTTGTCAACATCTCTCTTCAATTGTGGTGTCCAGAATTGGACACAGTATTCCAGGTGTGGTCTAACCAAGGCAGAATAAAGGGCATGACTTCCCTGGATCTAGACACTATGCTCCTATTGATGCAGGCCAAAATCCCATTGGCGTTTTTTGCCGCTGCATCACATTGTTGGCTCATGTTTAACTTGTTGTCCACGAGGACTCCAAGATCTTTTTCACACATACTGCTCTCGAGCCAGGCATTGTCCCCCATTCTGTATCTTTGCATTTTGTTTTTTCTGCCTAAGTGGAGCATCTTGCATTTGTCCCTGTTGAACTTCGTTTTATTAGTTTTGGCCAATTATCTCTCTAATCTGTCAAAATCGTTTTGAATCCTGCTCCTGTCCTCTGGAGTATTGGCTCTCCCTCCCAATTTGGTGTTGTCTGCAAACTTGATGATCATGCCCTCTAACCTTTCATCTAAGTCAGGGGTCCTCAAACTTTTTAAACAGAGGGCCAGGTCACAGTCCCTCAAACTGTTGGAGTGCCAGATTATAATTTGAAAAAAACATGAATGAATGTCTATACACATGAATTAATTCCTATGCACGCTGCACATATCTTATTTGTAGTGCAAAAAAACCTTTTAAAATGCAATAATTAAAATGAAGAACAATTTTAACAAATATAAACATTAGTATTTCAATGGGAAGTGTGGGCCTGCTTTTGGCTGATGAGATAGGATTGTTGTTGTTGATGTTATTGTTGTGCATTTTCAAGTTGTTTCAAACTTAGGTTGACCCTGAGCAAGGGCTGGGTAAATGACCTTGGAGGGCTGTATCTGGCCCCCGGGCCATAGTTTGAGGACCCCTGATCTAAGTCATTAATAAAGATGTTGAACAGGACCAGGCCCAAGACAGAACCCTATGGCCCTCCGCTCGTCACTTCTTTCCAGGATGAAGAGGAAACATTTGTGATCATCATCATCTTTATTTATAACCCACCGTCTCTCCCTGAAGGAACGTAGTCTTTGGTCTTCTTGGACAAAGTCAAGCTTCTGTGGAGCCTTTTGGCCTTCTGGTGCTTGTGGGCACTCCCTCGGGATGCCTACCTGTCTATCAGCACAGGATGAAATGGCCCTCAGTGGGCCTTCTCCACCATTCTGGCTATCTCCTCACCAAAGCAACTTATACATACTTTGCATCAAGATGGGAAGCTTGGGGCAGTGGTTTTGGGAACAATGCTTGCAGGAATCCAGTGTTGATTGAGTCCAGTGTGAGAAATGGGATATGTAGTCCCCCAGGGATGGGCGGATGGATTTTCCCCCATGGAAGAAATGCCTCTGGTGCTGTGCCCCTTCCCCCCTCCCCGCCCTCTCTCATTGTGTGTGTTTCTGTCCTCCATGTATGTCTTCTTCCCCGCTTCCTCTTTGTGCTCCATTGTGTTTGCCATCTTTGTCTCCCTTTCTCTTTCCATGTGTGGCTCTCATCCAAGGAGTTCCCTCTGATTCTGAATACTTGTCCATGTAGTAAGTATGAAGGGTCAAAGGGGGCATGAAGGGGTTTCAAACCCACAATGTGAAAAATGCTGCAGGGAGAGGATTTGTAGGTTGCTGGGGGACTTGGGATCGGTTGCTGGAGAGCCATCAAGGTGTGATATCAAACAAACAAACAGTGTTATCTAACCCAGAGTTTCTCAAACTCTGTTCCTCCAGGTATTATGGACTTCAGCTCTCAGAAATCTCAGTCAACTTACCAGCTACGAGGGATTGTGGGAGCTGAAGGAGGGTTTGAGAAACTCTGATCTAACCACTGAATTTGACTCTACCTTGAGGCTGGTGAGGTCCCACCATGACTTGGGATGAACTGAGCTGACGTTGAGTTTGTTGTTACTTGGGTACAGATTCTGCAGCTTTGACATTTCCTGCAAAAGGGGCATGAAGGGGCCTCAAACCCAAAACGTGCAAATATTAGAAGTAAGCGTACTTTCCAATTAAAAGGTCTTCAGGTATTAAAATACCTTAAAGCTGCAGGGAGGGGATTTGTAGGTTGCTGAGGGACTTGGAATCGGCTACCTGAAGTGACATCCTGCTTGCCGCAGTCTCAGAGCTCATGAGAGAAGCCCCTCATCAAACTATAAATCCCAGGATGCCACCATGGACCAATTCTGTGGATTTCTGTGATGATAACGATGAGGGGGGGGGGAGGATGCTAATTCCGCTTCTATCTCTTGATGGAAATGCAATGCAGCTCACATCAATCTAAAGCCCACAACATTCAAATAGTAGAATTAAGCGTACAGTCCAATTGAAATGGCTCCAGACATTAAAATATTTAAATGCTCCAGGGAGGGGATTTGCAGATTGTTGAAAGATTGGGGATCGGCTGCCGGAGAGTTGTCCTTCTTGCAGCAGTCTTAGAGCTTATGATACAAGCACTTGTCAAACTATAAATCCCAGGATTCTGTAAGATGGGTTTCATGCCCCCTTTGCCACCATGGACCAATTCTGTAGAATTCTGGGATGATGATGATGACAGTGATGGTGCTGGTGATCCCGCTTGAGATGCAATGTGGCTCACAACAATCCAAAACCCACAATGTGCAAAGATTAGAATTAAGTGTACATTCCAATTGAAGTAGTTTCAGGCATGAAAATACTATAAATCTGCAAGGAGGGGATTTGTAGGTTGCTGAAGGATTGAGGGTCAGCTTCCGGAGAGTCATCCTGCTTGCAGCAGCCTCAGGACACATGAGAGAAGCCTCTTGTCAAACTATAAATCCCAGGATAATTCCCAGCAGGAAGGGGATTTGTAGGTTGCTGAGGGACTGGGGACTGGCTTGCAGCAGCCCCAGGACTCCCTTCTCAAATTGCGGATCTCGAAGGCAAGACCTATGCCCACAATGATGACAATGAGAATGTAATTGGGGAATGGGCCAAGCAGATGTTCGAAGGTCCGGCCCAGCGGCCCACTTGCTCACTTCTATCTCTATTTCCTGTTGGAAGGCGTGGAGGAGGAGGCCGGGCAGAGGGCTGACCCGGTGGTCAACGGCAAGGAGGAGGACACAACGGCAGAGGATATCCTGAGCAAAGAGCTGAGCCAAATGACCACCAACGCCGACACCACTGGCACCACCAACCCGGAGGCACCCAAGGACAAAGCCGTGTCCCCCGACGGCTCGCCCTCCAAGTCCCCCTCTAAGAAGAAGAAGAAGTTCCGGGCTCCGTCCTTCCTGAAGAAGAGCAAGAAGAAAGAGAAGGCCGAGTCCTGAGCCTCCACTGCTGCCGCCCTCCGAGCCTCTCCTGCTTCCCCTCCTCCTCCTCCTCCTCTTCCCTCCCTTCCTCCTCCTCCTCTTCCTTCTCTTCCTCCTCCATTTTGCCCTCCGTGACCACCTTTCCCCTTCTGCCACTCTTGTTGTGAAGCTGTTGGGGGAATTTTAGTGGAGGAGAGTCGAGGGGCTGGAGGTGGCTCTGCTGGGCTTTGGAGAAGTTGCTGCAGAGGGAGAGCTTGGCCAGGCCTTTCTACTTCTTCTTCCAATTGCCCAAGGATACAAGAGAGAGGGAGAATGACCTTCCGCCATCGATTTCCCATTGAAGGTGGAGTGTCAGCCTTTTTGGACGTGCCTTTCTCTCTCTACCCATTTTGAACCCTTTCTGTGGAACCTTTGGGTCAGTCACTCTTTGGAAATAATGGGACCCAATGCCTCCCTTTACTCTGGGCTCCCCTGTCTTTGGATGCTGCACCAAAAGGACACCTTTGATGGGAATTGCTCTGAACCCGGTGCCATGTTTGCTGCAGGGCAGCTCTATGGAATTTCCTTGGGTGCAAATCCAGCACAAGTGGGGAACTGCGCAGTATTCTGTTCAGGTTGCTCTTCACTGGGGGGAGGGGGGCACTTCCATAATGGGTGGCAAAAGAGGGGAATAAGGTTTCATCCGTGGGGCGTGACCTCCTTGAAGACGCTATTGCCTCCCCTTCCTTCCTTCCTTCCTTCCTTCCTTCCTTCCTTCCCTCCCTCCCTCCCTCCTTCCTTCCTTCCTTCCTTCCTTCCTTCCTTCCTTCCTTCCTTCCAACCCAGAGCAAAATTGGGCGTGATCCCCATTGCTCAGGCCCAGCCAGCTATTGATTTATTTAATATTTTTCATGTCAGGAGTGACTTGAGAAACTGCAAGTCACTTCTGGGGTGAGAGAATTGGCCGTCTGCAAGGATGTTACCCAGGGGATGCTGCTCGGATGTTTTGATGTTTTACCATCCTTCTCTCATGTCCCCACATGAGAAGCTGGAGCTGACAGAGGGAGCTCAACCTGCTCTCCCTGGATTTGAAGCCCTGCCAGCACAAGGGTTTAACCCATTGTGTCTACAGGGGCTCATTTTAAAAATGAAAAACATAATACAATTTTGGTGCTGTCACACTTGGCCCTTGGACCTACAATGGGCTTTGGAGAGAGTGGGCTGTGGCCCTTGGGTTCATTGCTCCATGAAGCCAGGCGGATCAATGCAGACTCCACCATACCCAGGCCACATTTGCGGGCTCCCAAGTGCACTAGATTACAACACAGAGGGGCGGACATTGCTTTCCTACAGTGGCTGTTGTCTATGCCCCATTCATCCATGGTTTGCCTGCAGCTATTAAGGTTTCTCTCCAAGGTGCTGAATCCTATCCTCACTATAAGTCACCTTGGAAAGTCTATGACAAAACTCACAGCCTGGAAGCAGTTTGGCACTACTTTAACTACCATGGAATCCTGGGATTTGTAGTCTGTTGCAGCACCAGAGCTCTCCAACACAGGAGACACAGGAGGGCAAACATAATACAAACTACAAACCCCAGAATGCATATCATCAAACCATGGCAGTCATTGTGGATGTACTAAATCGGGATATATCATGGATTCCTGGGCATGATAATGGCCAGCCTCCACCTTGACTTTGACCAAGGATGATGGGACTCATAATACGGCAGATTTGGCAAGTATAGAGCGGCAGGCCCATCAGTATCCCCTTCCTTGCACGTCTCCGTTTGGTGGTGAAATGCCTTGTGAAGGAACGGCAGAGGAGGCGTCTTCTGTGCCGCGATGGCAAGGCAGGTGGGTGCATGCAATGGCACACAAAGGCTCTCCTGCGCTGAATTCAAGATGTCACCCTTCACTTCCGTCACATAAGTGCTCCTTGGCGAGTCTGGAACCATGTTTGAATTGCACACACTGCCAACCCTCGGCGGTGCCTTGTTGTCAACAATGCAGCAGGAGGCTTGTGGGGCCATGCCTTGCCTTCGACTGCCCTGTCACAAGATTGTGTCACGCTTGCAAAGTGTTTCCATAAGTGGCTGTGTAACTTTGGCTGCGACTGTAAATTGCTTCAAAAGAGCTGGTGTTTTGGTGGAGAATGTGCTTCTTGTGCAGGAATGCTTCTCGTATCGCACTGGTCAAAAGAGCCATGGCAGAAGCAAAGCACAGAAAAGACAGAGATTGATTGGCTGCAAAATTCGGGGTGCATCTACACTGGGGAATGGGTGCAGGCTGACACCATGTAGACTGCCAAGACTTAGGCCCTGTGGGGACACAGGCCAAGGCAGTTTGTGTGGCAGTGGAAAACCTTTCTTTTCTATCCCACCGCTGCCACCAATATATATTATGTGGGGACACAGGCCAAGGCAGTTTGTGTGGCAGGGGGAACCTTTCTTTTCTCTCCCACCGCTGCCACCAAATATTATATAGAGCAACCAGAACAGTTGTGGAAGATTTAAAATGATAGTATGGGTAGCTTAAGTGTGGCTGAGCAATTTATTTAAGTCAGTATGTTTGAGTGAGGCTTATATTTGCTGATGTGAGGCTAGACTTTTAAAATGCTTTGCCTGGGGCACATAAAAGGAGTCAACCATTAGCATAACCTGGATCATTTCTTCAAAATCTTCAGCCGCCTTCATTTAAAAAAAAAACTAGCCAAAGGTCTTTATTGTGATGAACTGAACAAGAAAATGGTTATTCAAGAATTCTCAGGCAATTCAAATCTTGCTGGTTACTCAGTACTTCTTAGACATTGTTACACTTAGTTTATGTTGTCGCAAGCACTTGAAACAGTTTCCAATATGGCTCCAGAATGGCTTTTCCTTTCACCAGACTGGTTTAAACTTATTTTACTTCGAAGTACAAGGGGTATTTTTTAAGTAAGGTCCGTTTGAACATAAGTACACAACAAAAGTTTATTTCAAAAAAGTAAATTTATTTTCAGAAAGTACATACTTCACTCTATTTTTCGACATAGTTGCCAAGTTTGTTCAAACACTTATCATACCTCTGAACCAATTTTAAAATACCCTCTTCATAAAAACATGCCACCACCAAAAGCCACCAAATCGTCTGTAACCAAAGAAGGGCGACCGGAGCGGTCCTCATCATGGACGTTGTCACGGCCATCTTTGAATTGTCGTACCTACTTATGCACTTTGCTTTCACTCATAACAGTATCACCGTACACTTCACAAATCTGTCGATGAATTTCTGCAGCAGGCAGGTTCCTTGCTGACAAAAACCGTATCACTGAGCGAACCTCACATGCGGCGGGTGAATTGATAGTCTTAAACATTTTTAAAGCACAGAACAGAACCGTACAGGTTAGCTTCAGAGCGGAAACTGAGCACAGTTGTTCCCGAGGCATGCCAGTACATGACGCACGCGCTCGTTGTGGTATGCACGCGAACTACTAGTGTCTACAACAAAACGGACCTTACTTAAAAAATACCTCTCGTATATTTTCTCTCCTGACATTCAAAACACTGGCTTGCCTTTTCTTCAGTTATCCCACTGAAGTTACAGCACAATCCTAGGGTTTCTTTCCCCTTTTAGTTAAACATAATAAATAATATTTATTTATTAATTCAAACAGGTTCAATTGGCACTTTAAACAAATCAGGCTGAAGGCTTAGAACCCTTGGCTCGGCTCCCAACTAGCCAGAGCCAACCTTCCACTTTGACTCTCCAGTCAAAAACTGACTCTTTAATGTCTGCTCCACTCTAGTTGGCAGTTAGCTCTGTCCCTTTTGACTCCTGCTTGGAGAAATATGGATATATTTCTAATGAAAACTGTAGCTGCTTGTTGGCAACTTAGCCAAGAAGCAGCTGCAGTTTAAAGTGGCCTGCTTGCACCATATTTCACTTAATCAAACATTAATAAAAATTCCCATTAAAATTAACCAATTCATTACAGGCCCCTTCTACACTGACACATAAGACAGATTATCAAATCAGATAATCCACATTATCTACTTTGAACTAAATTATATGAGTCTATGCTGCCATATAATCCATTTTAAAGCGAATAATCTGGATTTTATATGGCAGTGTAGAAGGGGCCTTAGTGCTAGGGATCCTGGGAGTTGCAGTTTGGCAAGGTCCCAGCATTCTTTAGCAAAGAAGGTGAAAAACCTCAGGAAAGTATAAATGTCATGGAATCCCGGGAATTGTAGTTTTACAGGGTCTTTAGCTTTATCTGCGAAACTTCAGCTCCCAGGGATCCTTAGCACTGGGCTGTGGCAGATAAAGTGGTGCCAAATTGTATTTGTTCTGTATAGATAGATTCACCTTGTACTTGTACTTGTTTGCTAGTAGGCATGAAGTCCCACCATCCTGAACAAGTGCAACACTTTGATGCCGCTTCAACTGCCATAGCAGCCTCCACTCAAATCCTGGGATTTGCAGTTTATGCTGGAGCAAAAAGATGGTCTTAGGGAGTCATACGGCAAGAGAAAAGAAGGCCAGATGAAAATCTCAGCAGCAAAAGGCACCTTCTCTTTAAATAGGTGGTCAGTTGTCCATCCAGACATACAGGAGACACTCCACTATAGACTTAATGTAGTTTGATACCCTTTTGACTGTCATGGCCCAGTGCTGTGGACTCCTGGGAGTTGTAGTTTGGTGAGGCACCAGCGGTATAAGGCAGGAAAGGATAAAAATCGTGTAAAGCTACAACTTCCCATGATTCCATAGCACCGAGCCATGGCAATTAAATGGATATCAAACTATGTTCATGCCACAATTGGTGCATCTCTTGTACCTGAAAGGTCATACTGGTGCTTTGATGTGTTAGGATTGTACCAACAGATAGGCAGTATGGTTTGGAACTGGAGACCAGAACCCCTTTCTCGGCCATGGAAGCCCATTGGCAAGTCAGACTCTCTCAGCCTCAGAGGGAGGCCCTCCTCTTGCCAAACCTTAGTGTCTTAGTGCCACAAATGCCATAAATGCTGGCACAAACAGCACAATCATAGAAACAATATGATGTCTGGCACTTTTGGGAGCCACCAAAGCAGATGGCAGTTCTGGATTTCTTCTGGTACTTCCACAAACCTGCTAATTTTCTTAAATAATGTGTCTTAAATGAAGGTCTACTGAAGGAAGAAGGGTTAAGGGTGGCTTCATATTGCCCTCCCTTCTGCATACATATCCATGCATTCTTAGGAGCAATTGTCTTTCCTGGCTAGGGATGTCTGTGTCCACACTGGAGAATGAATGCAGCTGGACCTCACTTTACAGAATCATGAGAGTTGTAGTAGTAGTGGTAGTGATTTTTATTGATTAGCCCTTAGGCCATATCACAATAAGAAACAGAACAAGACCTGACAAGACCCGATCACACTCCATGTAGTAAGTTAAAATATGACACTCAATAACAATACAGTAAATAAATATGATAAGATATGATAAAACTGATAAACTGATCAAGCTGAGTATATACATCATATTTCCTTATCACCCCTACAATTTACCCCAATCAGCCCTACATATGTGGTTCTCAGACGTATTGTTTTGCTTAAGTACAGAGCTGTTTTATATGTTATTTTTGGGTCTTGGCCACACATAAAATATGTTGTTCTGATGTGAGATTCCCAATACATTGTCCGTTTGATATGTGGACCAAGGTGGAAGTCTCTCACCTTTTGATACAATTTACAATCAAATAATATGTGTGCTATATCCTCAATTTCAGGTGCCCCGCAGATACAGAGAGTTGTAGTTTTACACAATCTCTAACTTTTTCTGCCATCTCACAATGCCGAGCCAGGGCAATTAAAGTGGTGTCAAAACTGCATTAATTGCGCAGTGTAGAAGCGCCCTTGGACAGACTACACCTCAATGGAGGAATAGCCGTCTTTTCCTTCTTCAGTCTGATTTGTTGCATTTCCTCAAGAATCACTTGAGTTAGTGGGGAATGGAGACACTTCACCTCACTCTGTAATTTCACAGCATGAAGGGCGTGATTATTCATTTAGAAACAGATATCTGCTTGCTGGAGCCTCATTCTCAGTAAAACAGAGGCAACTGTGTGCTTTGGTCTGATGTAAAACTCTATCACCTGCCAATCAATGCCTTGGGCCGTGGCAGTTAAAGTGATGTCAAACCACATCCATGCTGCAGTGCACATGCACCCTTCGGCGTGTGAGACTCCCTTTTAGTCCAGACATCCCAAAGATCTCCTTTTCATTTTGCTTCTCAAAATCTGGAGCCGCTCCAATGTGCCAGGCAGGACCGCATTGCAATGCCGAAAGCCCAGCATCTGCCTGACAATCGCTGCTTCCAAGTGGTATTTGATGTCACACCTGCAAACAACACACTCCCCCTTTTGTGTGTTTGGACGGATGTTGTGACGTCGACCTTTGAGGTTCTTGTGTAAATAAGACTTACTCTCCTGCAATGTGCACCACGGGCCCTCAAAGGCCTGCTTTTCTTTCTGTCTCTCTTTCTGTGCATTGCCCCCTTTTCAACAGACCAGAGCACTCTTCCCTGAGCACATCTACATTGCAGGATGAATGCAGTTTGACTCCACTTGGTCAACCGTGGCTCAACGCGATGGCATCCTGGGAGCTGCAGCTTGGCCCTTCTAGGCACCAGGCCTTGCAAAACTAGTTTCCAGGGAGCGCCAAAGAAAACACCTTGCTAATCAACTATTCCCCTTGACCCCATAGCTTTGAGCCAAGGCAGTTTATGTGGTGTCAAACAGCATTCATTCCACAGTGTAGATGCACCTTTGGTTGGTGTCCCTTCTTTTCTGTGTTTTCCCCACTCTCCATTTTGGAATTTGTTTCAGTGTGTGAGCGATGTGCTGGCAGCCAAACCCTTGCAAACAGTGCGCTTTGCCATGTGCTCTTGCTGCTGCGTATGCCCAATGCCGCTCTTCTTCCTCTTCTTCCTCTGGACCGAATAGCATCCAAGCAGCTCAGCTCCTTTCCAGGCGCTTTCTTTGACAGGATGCAAAGGTCTCCTCTTCTGCCGCCGCCGCTGCTTCGTGTCCAGATCCAAGCCTCTTTTTTGATGAAAAGCTTTTTGTCTCCTTTGAGTGCTCTAAAAATAAAAAACAAAACAAAACACAAAAAGCAGATGCTAATAAACTTTCACCAGAACACTAAACCTGTGTTTGGATATTCTCTCTTTTTAATTCGGGATGTCATCAATTCTTCATCCAGGTTTGCCTGGAAAAGTGACTCTTTGGATATGGGAGGGCTTTTTTTTCAGCTGACATGCATAGCATCAGCTTGGAGGTTTGCAATTCAAAGGTGCCTCTGGGAAATCACCCCTTGCAGGGCTGCCATGCTTGGGACAGAGCAGTGAGCTCCAGCTCCAACACTGCAAAAACAAGAGGTGAAACACTATGAAAACAAATACAATGAGATGCACAGAGTTATAATACAGGTTAAAAATCAGCGGATGAAATGCAGATTGGAATCCCGACTGTAATATTATTGGACTGCAGGCCCCATCGATCCTAGAAGTGCTGGGAATTGCAACCAAGTACAACCTGGAGGGCCACACATGTTAGGGAATTCTCCCAAAATAGCAGAGTATCCAAAAATGCAAACAGGATACTTAACTGAGCAGTCAGCTCACAACAAGTAGGAGGTGAGGTGTTGTGGATGCAAAAGAATTCTTGAGTTTAGGAGGCAAAGATGCAAAGTCCAGTCTTTAAAGTTCCAAAAAGGTTTATTTTTAAAATATATAAGAAAATTTCTTGATAGAAAAGAATTTGCTCTAAACATCTCTCTAACTCAGTTGCTTCTAAGTTCAAACAGGAGGAGAAAACCTCCAGACACTACATTTCTTCAAACACTCAGAGTAAAGATGTCTTCATGCAAAGGTGGAAAAAGCAGGAAGAGGGGAACATGGGGACCATTCCAATTTCCTTCAGGAAAGAGTTCCAGAGGTGGTGGTGGTGGTGGTGGTGGGGGGTGATGGCAGAGAAGAGCCTCTCCCTCATCCCTCCAGCTGTGTTGGAGATGGAGGAGAGAGTGCCAGGAGGGCCTCCCTTGATGAACGCAGCATCCGGGCAGGCTCACATGAGGAGAGGCGGTTGGCCAGGTAATGTTGGTGACATCTGCCTGATCTGTTCGTTTGAGTGCGGCTGAAGGAAGAGACGGAAAGGAGATTGGATTTCAACACTTTGTTGTTGTTGTTCATTCGTTCAGTCGTCTGTGACTCTTCGTGACCTCATGGACCAGCCCACGCCAGAGCTCCCTGTCGGCCGTCACCACCCCCAGCTCCTTCAAGGTCAGTCCAGTCACTTCAAGGATGCCATCCATCCACCTTGCCCTTGGTCGGCCCCTCTTCCTTTTTCCTTCCACTTTCCCCAGCATAATTGTCTTCTCTAGGCTTTGCTGTCTCCTCATGATGTGGCCAAAGTACTTCAACTTTGTCTCTAGTATCCTTCCCTCCAGTGAGCAGCCGGGCTTTATTTCCTGGAGGATGGACTGGTTGGATCTTCTCGCAGTCCAAGGCACTCTTAGAACTTTCCTCCAACACCACAGTTTAAAAGCATCTATCTTCCTTCGCTCAGCCTTCCCTATGGTCCAGCTCTCACAACACTTTACTATTTGCAAATAGTGGTGACAGCCAGCTCACGCTGAATAAGGAACTACCATCCCTCTATTAGGACGGACTTTTCATTCACAGCATTTTACAGACATGCACAGAAAACTAACATTGGAATTTTACTGACTCATGCAATCTATTAGACATGTGCAAAATTATTTATTTATTTACAGTATTTGTATGGGGCTTTTCTCACCTCAAGGGGGACTCAAAGCGGTTTCCACATAAGTAATGGCAAAATTCAATGCCAGTACAAACAATTACAATTATACACTACAATTAGACATAAATTAAATTTAAAAATACATCCATGAGAAACAAAACAATCATTAAAACAATAAAACAGTCTCGTCCGTCGAATCACCGTTCCAGTCATTGTCTTTCTGAAATGCTGCATATATTTACTTCTACTTCCCGAAGGTCTGGTCCCAAAACCATGATTTTAATTTTTTTCTAAAAGCCAGGAGGGAGGGAGCGGATCTTACCTCATTTGGGAGTGTGTTCCATAGGCGGGGAGCCACAGCTGAGAAGGCCCTGTCTCTTGTCCCCACCAGACGCATCTGTGCTGTTGACGGGAGCGTGAGCAAGGCCTCCCTGGATGATCTTAGATTACGAGGTGGGACGTAGAGGCGGATGCGTTCAGACACGTAAGCTGGGCCAGAACCGTATAGAGCTTTATAGGTCAAAACCAGCACTTTGAAATGGGCTTGGAGATGGACCGGTAGCCAGTGGAGTTGGCATAGCAGCGAAAGGCTTCTCGTTTGCATTAATTAATACTTTATTTATATCCTGCCACCATCTCCTAAAAGGGACTCAGGGTGGCTTACAAGGCATTCCAAGTGCAGTATATAACACAGTATATAAAGAGTACATGAGTATAAAACATATCACATAAAAATTATTCAACAACCACTATCAACACATAAAATAAAACAACACAATTTTATAATGCAGACACCGGAGCTGTGGACAGGCACGCGTGGGCGGGGCCATCCCTCTAAGCCACGCCCCCTTTCGGCGATTGGCTAGGAGAAAACCCCAGCGGAGCCAATGCCAGGAGAGAGAAGCGCGTTCCCGGACGGAGCCGGAAAAGGACGGACAGGAACCGTGGGGGCGCCGGGCGGTGTTTCCAGCCGGAGCGTGAAAGGGGACGGACCGCGTCGCCGGAAATCCACGCCGGAGCGCTGTGAGGAGAGAGGAGGCGATGGGACGAAGCCGCTCGCGATCCCCGCCCAGGAGGGGTGAGTGCAAAGCTCGACAAGGAGGAAGAGAATAGTCATAATAGTTCTCCATCCATTCTGGTGGGTTTGTCCCATTCAAAGAGGCACAATGACGAAAGAGGAAAGAGAAGAGGAGTGCTTTTCTCTGGGCCTCTTTGGGTGGGATGCAGGCACTAGAATGGATGCAGAATTATGTATTATTGTGTATTACTAGCAGTCCCCTGCCACGCGTTGCTGTGGCCCACATGGGGGTTCTGTGTGGGAGGTTTGGCCCAATTCTATTGGTGGGGTTCAGAATGCTCTGTGATTGCAGGTGAACTATAAATCCTAACAACTACAACTCCCAAATGTCAATATTCTATTTCCCCCAAACTCCACCAGTGTTCACATTTGGGCATATTGAGTATTCGTGCAGAGTTTGGTCCAGATCCATCATTGTTTGAGTCCACAGTGATCTCTGGATGTAGGTGAACTACAACTCCAAAACCAAAGGACACTGCCCACCAAACCCTTCCAGTATTTTCTGTTGGTCATGGGAGAACTGTGTGCCAAGTTTGGTTCAGTTCCATCGTTGGTGGGGTTCAGAATGCTTTTTGATTGTAGGTGAACTATAAATCCCAACAACTACAACTCCCAAATGACAACATCATTTTTTGTGTGTGTGTGAAGGACATACATTGGGTTGTTAGATGTCTTGTGTCCAAATTTGGTGTCAATTCGTCTAGTGGTTTCAGAGTTCTGTTAATCCCACGAACAAACATTACATTTTTATTTATATCATCAATCAATCAATCAAAAATAGTTTATTGTATGGGCCCAAGGCCATGACAAAAAGCACCATACACGCACAATAGTATCCTCAGAGTACAGGCACCAAGAATGCTAAACAGAACCATGATTTGCTCCCACAACAAAAACAATGGAAGTTAATAATAGTTAAAATACATTTTAGGAGAGGATCCAGTTAACCCTTAGAATCTCTTTGGCAGTTGATAGCAATTTTATCTAACTCTGTCTTTCTGATCTTTTTTGCAGAGTGAGCAAAAAGGGCTACTTTGTAAGTTACAAAGTCATTTGTATCGCTCAGCAGAAACCGCACTGTTTTTGCAATAGAGTTTCCTTCATCTTGTGTCAACAAGGGTTTTAGGTGTCTTTCCCTTGGGTCACTATACAATGGGAAGACTAACAGATAATGCACAATGTATTCTACCTGATACTGACTACAAATACATAGCCTGTTTTCCCAGGGAACATTTTGGTAGCGACCATCTAACACTGCAGTTGGCATCACTTGAAATCGCAGCTCGGTGAAGGCGGTTCTCAAGGAAGGAGGCTTGAGCTTGATCAGATATCTGGCTCTCAAATGTTCAGTTTTCAAAAAGGGGAACCATGGGGAAACATTTGAGTTCCTGATTGTTTGCAGGGTCCTTCTTGAGTCAATCCAAAATAGCCAGTCTCTTAGTTGTCTCTTAGTCATGTCCAGGGCAGAATTCAATTCAGGAAGATTGTAGTTGAATAAGAGGTCCTCCAGGCCGGATCTCATTTTTATTTATATAGATTATTCTGGACGCAAACCATGGAGAGTTTTACATATCAAAACCAACACTTTATAGACACACCTCCTCCCACAGATTAGGGAGGAGAAGGCCATCCTGGAGGGAACCTGGACCTAGACCATGCGCTCTGACAGTACTCTAGCTGCTGTGGCCCAGTGCTCTGGGATCCTGCCAGTTGTAGTTTGGCAAAGAAGGCCTTCCAAAACAACTAGTCCGGTGAGCCTATAGCGCCCAGCCATGGAAGTTACAGCAGTGGCTTCCATCTGGACCTAAGCCGTATAATGCTTTTAGGTCACAACATATTGTATGAAGTGCATAGTGGCCATTCCATCTATCTACATTCTTTCTTTGTGTCCAGAGCGCCGGCGGTCCAGGTCTGCTTCCCGGGAGAGGAGGCGTCGGGAGCGGTCGCGGTCCCGAGAGAGAGACCGGAGGAGGAGCCGGTCCCGCTCCCCCCACAGGAGGCGGTCCAGGTGAGTCTGTGCTTCCTGCTTCACCAGTTCTGTGAGCAGGAATCGTTTCGGCAGCGTGAGGACCGACCTTGGCTGTTGCCTTTAGCAGTGTTTGGAGGGAAAGACTGGCTGAATGTGAGGCTTAGAATCCTAGAGATTGAAGGGACCCCCAAGGGCCATCCAGTCCCACCCTCTTCTTTCTGTCAGGTAGGAAGACACCCTACAGTCCCTCCTAATTCATGCCCGTCCACCCATAGATATGATTGATTGATTGGTTGATTGATTGATTGACATTTATTATTCTGATAATAATAATAATAATAATAATAATAATCTTTATTTAATACCCCACCACCATCTCCCCAATGGGGACTCGGGGCGGCTTACATGAGGCCAAGCCCAGCAGCATATTACAATAAAATAAAACCAAAACCCTAATTCATTATATTTTTCTGTTTTTATTTTATTCATGTTTCTAATTATTTCTTTTGTCTGTAATGATTTAACTCCATTCCATTTGTTACTTATTGCTTATTGCTCTAATCATAAACTCTTTATCTTCTACCATTAAATTATATATTTTTGCCACTATTCCTTTACTTGTTTTTTCTCTTGCATTTAGCAATTTATCTACCTTTAGTTCTTCAGTGGGCTGTGCACCCTCTTTTTTTACTTTTTCCCAAATCCCTCTTAATTTTAACCAATTTTCTCCCCCCTCCCCCTTTCCAAAAACTCTGGTCAATTAATTATCTCTCCATCTTGTTTCCACATATCTTTTACCCTCTTTAATCCCTTTTCTTCTAAGTTAGCAAATCCAAAATATTTTGTGGGATGCTCTTGGTCTTGATAAAAGTAAATAAAGGCAAAGTCCACTTGTTTTCCCATCCCTGCTTAACTATCAAATGAAAAGACAGCCTCAGTAGTTAAATTGTTTATCTCCCTTCTCATGGTATTTCTAGCCATTTTGATTTCCTGCAACAAATCTGTTGTGCTATTTGACAATGAGAATGGATGTATATTCATAGGCCCATAATCATACTGAAAGGTAGTTTCTGGCCCATTGTAGCACCACATGTGAATAAGAAAAGGAAAGGTGCAACTGTTGCACAGAGAAGTAACCTTTCTGGAAACATTTTTTTGGAATATTTTTAATGCAATATTAGCAACCTTTACAAATGGTTTTCTGTTTCTTTTTCATTCCCCCTTTTGACTTGGCCTGTGTATAGCCAATATCCCACACCTCTTGTATTTGATGAGCTAGCAAGCACACTTCATAATTCCATTTGTCATTGAAAGTAAAGCTTGCGCTATTCTAACATTCTAGATCACCGCGGCGACATAGGTCCAGCTCTTCCTCTCCGGTCCGACCGAAAGAAAGGCGAGACGATGAAAAGAAAGAGGGCAAAGAGGCCAAAGGGAAAGAGCGCCAGATCACAGGTAACACAACAGAGGTTTATAGAGTCACAACTGAATGCAGGGAACTATAAACCATCCTCCAGCTGCTCCAAAAAGACAGAACACGGCCCAAGATACTGATTTCCTTTTTTAATGGCAATGTAGTGAGGTTCACCTGGTTCGATTTTGCTCTCTCTCTCTCTCTCTCTGATTGTCTCCCTGTCATTTCTTGGGTTCTTTTCCAGAGGAAGATCTAGAGGGCAAGACCGAGGAAGAAATTGAGATGATGAAAATGATGGGATTTTCCACATTTGACACCACAAAAGTGAGTCACTTATTTTGCTGGGAGCTTGCGGATCAGCTGTGAGTCACTTACCGTATATACTTGAGTATAAGTTGACCTGAATATAAGCCGAGGAACCTAATTTTACCACAAAAAAATAGGAAAAGGTATTGACTCGGGTATAAGCCGAGGGTGGGAAATGCAGCAGCTACTGGTAGATTTCAAAACAAAAATAGATACCAATAAAATTACATTAATTGAGGCATTAGTAGGATAAATGTTTTCAAATATTTACATAAAACTGTAATTTAAGATAAGACTGTCCAACTCTGATTAAACCATTATTTTAACCTTCTTCATTGTAAATGTGCTTATGTATCCTTTCAATAATAATAAAGAGAGCAAAATAATAAATGTGATAAAAATAATTGAGTAAAATAATGTAAATGTAATAATAATAATAATAAATATAATAAAATAATAAATGTAATCAAAACAATAATATATAGAGTAACATAATAAATGTAATAAAATAATAATAGAGTAATGTAAATGTAATAATAGAGTAAGATAATAAATGTAATAAAAATACTAATAATAGAGTAAAATAATAAATAACCAAAGGGAGCTTTTTCAGCCTAAAAAAGGGACTGAAAAACTAGGCTTATACTTGAGTATATACAGTATTTTTCTGGGAGCATGCGGATCAGCTGTATCTGGTGAGCTTGGGGGTGGGGATAGAATCATAGAATCAAAGAGTTGGAAGAGACCTCATGGGCCATCCAGTCCAACCCCCTGCCAAGAAGCAGGAATATTGCATTCAAATCACCCCTGACAAATGGCCATCCAGCCTCTGCTTAAAAGCTTCCAAAGAAGGAGACTCCACCACACTCCGGGGCAGAGAGTTCCACTGCTGAACGGCTCTCACAGTCAGGAAGTTCTTCCTCATGTTCAGATGGGATCTCCTCTCTTGTAGTTTGAAGCCATTGTTCCGCGTCCTAGTCTCCAGGGAAGCAGAAAACAAGCTTGCTCCCTCCTCCCTGTAGCTTCCTCTCACATATTTATACATGGCTATCATATCTCCTCTCAGCCTTCTCTTCCTTTTTTCAAAATGATAACAATAATAATAATAATGATAATAATACTCTTTATTTATATTCTGCTCCATTTCCCCAAGGGGACTCAGAGCAGACTACAGTATACATTCAATGCCTTTTATACAGTATCAACAATGACATACCACCCTGAGTCGCCTTCGGGCTGATATGGGCAGGATAGAAATAATATAAATAAATAAATAAATACAACATAAACAAAGACAAAGGTTTCCTTTCCATCTCCAGCTTCTTGGAGGCAATGCTCAACTCTGGCCATAGGAAGGTGCTGTTGTTCCTTTTCTCCATGCTGAGGAGCCTGTTTTCCGTAGACGCCTCCTGGTTGTTTTTTGCGAGCATGGCCGCCTTTTACCTTCTCGCTAGGATAGTACCTTTTAATCTACTCACATTGCATGTTTTCGAACTGCTAGGTTGGCAGAAGCTAGGGCTAACAGCAGAGCTCATCCGAACCACGATTTTGAAGTGCCAAGCCTCTGGTCAGCAAGTTTTATAAAGCTAGCAGTTTAACCTGCTGTGCTACTGTGGCCCCTCATTGTTTGAGTCCAGAGTGCTCTCTGGATGTAGGTGAACATCAACTCCCAAACTCAAGGTCAATGGCCACCAAACCCTTGCAGTATTTTCTGTTGGACGTGGGAGTTCTGTGTGCCAAGTTTAGTTCAATTCCATCATTAGTGGAGTTCAGAATGCTCTTTGATTGTAGGTGAACTATAAATCCCAGTAACTACAACTCCCAGATGACAAAATCATAATTTTTTGAGTGATGGTCACTCCTTGTGTTGTGAGATGGTTTGTTGCCAAATTTGGTGTGATTTTGTTCATTGGTTCTTTTGTTTTTAAGGTACTCTGTATGCATAGAGCATTTTTTTATATATAGATATAATAATTATAATTATAATAACACTTTATTTATATTCCACCCTGTCTCTCTCCCTCGGAGGGACTCAGGATGGATTCCAAACATAAAAGGTGAACATTCAATGCCCAAGTACAACAACAAAACATCCATAGTAACAAAATTTAACAAACCCAACATATAAACACAAATTATGACTTAACAACTAAAATTAAATAAAAAATGCACACTGTTATATCAGACATTTGAAAATGTTCTTTAAAATTTTATGCCAAAAAGTATTTTAGAGTCCGCTCATAGCAACAACAGCAGCAAATACCTTTGAATTAAAAACCAGGTGTAGCTTTCAGCGTTGGCCACTAAGACTCTGTTATCATATACCACATTTCATCTATATAAATAAAAATGTAATGTTCATTTGTGGGAGTAACAGAACTCAAAAACCAGTGGGCCAATTGACACCAAATTTTGGACAACATACACCTAACAACCCAATGTATGTCCTTCACTCAATTTTTTTTGATTTTGTCATTTGGGAATTGTAGTTTCTGGGATTTATAGTTCACCTACAATCAAAGAGCATTCTGAACTCCACCAATTATGGTATTGAACCAAATGTAGCACACAGGACTCCCATGACCAATAGAAAACACTAGAAGGGTTTAGTGGGCATTGACCTTGAGTTTGGGAGTTGTAGTTCACCTACATCCAGAGAGCACTGTGGACTCGAACAAGGATGGATCTGGACCAAACTTGGCATGAATATTCCATATGCCCAAATATGAACACAGATGGCGTTTGGGGGAAATAGACCTTGACATTTGGGATTTATAGTTCACCTACAATCAAAGAGCATTCTGAATCCCACAAACGACAGAATTGGGGCAAACTTTCCACACAGAACTCCCATGACCAACAGAAAATACTTAAGGCCATCCAGTCCAACTCTCTTCACCAGGGCAAGAAAATGTAATCAGAGCCTTCCTGACAAAGAGCCATCCAACCATAGATATAGAGAGATAGATATGATTCACACACAGAGATATAGTAGCATAGATTTGAAAGGGACCCCTAAAAAAAAGGACAATGATATGTTGCATGTTCCAGAGTAGGCAAACCAGACAGTCTCCACATCAACACTGACAAAGAAACAACAAGAAATACTGTTTACCCACAAGCATAAAGAAATTACATATATTAGAATCAAACACTTTCTCATTACTTTATTTTCTAGATCACCAGACTGGGCCACAGCAACACATGGCAGGGGACAGCTAGTTAATAATAATAATTGTATTTCTTACCTGCTTCTCCTTGTGGCGTGTCACAGCTGAATCAAAACACACAAACATTGCAAACGTTCTATAAGCACACATATTAAAACATAGTTCTATAAAAGATACATATTAAAACGTATTTCTATAAAAGACATATTAAATACAGCGGACAGAGATTAAAACATTGGTTGCTCTCAACCAGAACAGAGTTGGGGTTAGACTGGGTTTAAGGGAAGGTTTTGGGAGAAGACATTTAGGGCCACTTCTCCTTGAGTCAGTATCAATGTGAAGGCATGTAACAACATCAACAGCAGCACTTCCTTCCATGGACAGAACTCATATATAATAAACATTCCAGACCTTGTCCTTCTCAAATCTCCCCTTACTGGAAAGTGACTGCTGACTTCTCCTTGGTTTCCAGGGCAAGAAAGTGGAAGGGTCTGTGAATGCCTACGCTATCAATGTCTCGCAGAAGAGGAAGTACAGGTTGGTGTTGTTTCCCTTTGGACAGATCAGACCTTACCAGCCCTTCTTCAGATCCCCCCACTTTAAAAATAATAACAAAACCTCTTTCCCTCCTCCTTGTTTCCCGAGTGGCTCTCCATAAATATTCTACTTAACTTGCTCTGTAAATATTATTTATTTACAGTATTTCTATACTGCTTTTCTCACCTCGAGGGGGACTCAAAGCAGTTACACATAAGTAATGGCAAAAATTCAGTGCCAGTACAAACAATTACAATTATACACTACAATTAGACATAAAATAAATTAAAAAATACATCCATGAGCAATAAAACAATCATTAAAACATAAAACAGTCTCGTACGTCGAATCGCCGTTCCAGCCATTGTCTTTCTGAAATGCTGCATACATTTACTTCTACTGCCCAAAGGCCTGGTCCCAAAACCATAATTTTATTTTTTTCTAAAAGCCAGGGGGGAGGGAGCGGATCTTACCTCATTTGGGAGTGTGTTTCATAGGTGGGGGGATGAGCTGGAGATGTCACTGCCTTGGTCCTTTCACTATTGGCTGCTACTTCCCGGCAGATGTCAGGTGGTGCAATACCGGCTAGACAGTGTAGTTTCTCCAGTGGTGTAGGGTGCAGACACCCCGTGATAATGTGGCATGTCTCATTAAGAGCCACATTCACTCTTTTAGCGTGGTGAGATGTGTTCCACACTGGACATGCATACTCAGCAGCAGAGTAGCATAGCGCAAGGGCAGATGTCTTCACTGTGTCTGGTTGTGTTCCCCAGGTTGTGCCAGTCAGCTTTCATATGGTATTGTTTCTAGCACCCACTTTTTGCTTGATATTCAGGCAGTGCTTCTTGTAGGTCAGAGCACAGTCCAGAGTGACTCCCAGGTATTTGGGTGTGCTGCAATGCCTCAGTGGGATTCCTTCCTTCCCAGGTAATCCTCAGAGCTTGGGACTGCTTGTCTGTTCTTGAGGTGAAAGGCACATGTCTGTGTTTTAGATGGATTAGGGATCAGCTGGTTTTCTCTGTAGTAGGCGGTAGGAGCACCAAGAGCTTCAGAGAGCTTCTGTTCAACCATCTCAAAGTTCCCTGCTTGAGCAGTAATGGCACGATCATCAGCAATTCTTAATGTAATATCTAGAAGAGAAGACAGGAATGACGTGGGACAATATAAGGAGACAGCAGACAGGGCGACCAGTCTAGACATCAGATGACAAGAGTATGCTCTATTTTGTTATAGAGGATATATGGCATTTTCAATACTTTAGACAGGATGTATAATAGTAATCGAGATGGAAAAAATAGATGTAATAATTATTTCAAACACATAGCTTCTCTCCCCGCGCCAACCCCCATCCTCTCCTTCGGTGATATAATAGGCATGGTTAAAGATGTAATTTGCGAACGAGAACTCCATCACTCTCGCCCTCTTTTTTGTTTTCTTTCTGTGTGGAAAAAATGAAAAATGTTCAATAAAAAATATGAAAAAATAGAAAAAGAAAGGGTCCCTGGGTGTAATTTGTGTCTCATTTTGTTGCAGGCAATACATGAACCGAAAGGGAGGCTTTAACCGGCCGCTGGATTTCATTGCCTGAGACCTGCCTTCGGAAGGGGAGTCCGCCTCCAGCCCCTTAATGGTCTTGGGAGCCGCAGCACCTGCAGCCGGCACGTCTTCCTTCACAAAGCGGGACTCATGCTACCGGAGAGAGACATTGTCCTGCAGAGGGAACCGGTAGTGTGTGTTGTCTTTCTTGTTTTCACTGAATGTCCCTTTTGCGTTGCTGTTTTTAAATATTGTTGCTTAAATTAAAGAAGGAAAGCTTGGGTCCAGTAGAAGCTGCAGAACAGTTGTCTTTAAAGTTAGGATGCCAGATTCATCTTCGTTTCCTGAACCATGTTGATGGATATGGAACTGCTTTGGGGGGCAGGGTGCCCTCTCTACCTTTAATCCACCCATTTTCCTTTCACTCTCCTTGGAGGACTGTTGACATGGTTTGTTTATCATGATTACTAATTCTTTCATGTGCAGGGTATCCCTGCCTTCCTCCCAAAGGGGACTTTTTTCTTCCTCCTCCCATCACTGTCTTCCTTCTGTCCCAGATCAATGTAGGAATGCATCCATATAATGCTAGGTTGTCCTCTTTATTGTTTTGCATGCCATCCTGGTAATCGGTTTTGGGACACATAGACATTTGCTTTCATGCATTCGATGAGTATAACTTTGCAGGATTTGGGATATATCCTTTTTTTCCCCTAGGAAAAAAAGTCATCGCTTTCATTGTGAACCATTGCAGTAGTGTAACAGGACCACCTATATAAATAAAAATGTAATGTTCGTTTGTGAGATTAACAGAACTCAAAAACCACTGGACAAATTGACACCAATTTTGGACGCAAGACATCTAACAACCCAATGTATGTACTTCACTCAAAAAAATTGATTTTGTCATTTGGGAGTTGTAGTTGCTGGGATTTATAGTTCACCTACAATCAAAGAACATTCTGAACCCAACGATGGAATTGAACCAAACTTGGCACACAGTTCTCCCATGACCAACAGAAAATACTGGAAGGGTTTGGTGGGCAGTGTCCTTTGGTTTTGGAGTTGTAGTTCACCAACATCCAAAGATCACTGTGGACTCAAACAATGATGGATCTGGACCAAACTCTACATGAATACTCAATATGCCCAAATGTGAACACTGGTGGAGTTTGGGGGAAATAGAATCTTGACATTTGGGAGTTGTAGTTGCTGGGATTTATAGTTCACCTACAATCAAAGAGCATTCTGAACCCCACCAATGATGGAATTGGGCCAAACCTCCCACACAGAACCCCCATGTGGGCCACAGCAACGCGTGGCAGGGGACGGCTAGTAGTGAATAAAGGTCCTGGTTATAAGAACAGAGAGCTGACGCTGCTGGGTCTGGCCAAGGTCTCTCTGCTTCTGGGGTGAAAATCATTCAGACATATAGCCGTTGTTGGACTCGGAGACCCAGCAGCCCTCGCCATTGGAGGCCCTGGGGAGGAATGCTAGGCTGTGTGATTTGTGACATATTGAGTTCCCAAGAGCAGAAGAGCCCAGGATCTTGTTTCCAGCTGCTGCCAGCCAGATGTGTCTTGAAAGGCTGACAAGGCCATTCGCTGCTGGTGGGAATTAGAAGGATTTGTCACAATAGAATTATAATCGATCAGATGAACCAGCTGTAAACAGAGAACCCTCACTGCTTTGTGTGTTCACCTGGGAGAATTGATACCATGTGATAAAAACCAATCCTGTTGTGCAAAGCAAGCAATTGGCTCAGTGCAGGCCTGGGAAAACTTTGGCCCTCCAAGTGTTTGAACTTCCACAATTGCTAACAGCCAGTATATATAAGCTTTGGGAGGCACAGGGAAGAGTTAACATCCCTGTGTTGTTTCCTTTGCTCTCCATGTCCCTCTTCAGGAGATTTCCCCTCCTTTTCTGTCCCCGTGAGAGCGGGATTTTGGGAAATGTGGCCATTGTGTAAACAAGAACTAGAGAGGAAACTTCCATGGAGACCCCTTTCCCCCCACTTTGTAACAAAATTTGAAAAATGTTCTATTCCAGGTTTGAAAGTGTTATTTCCTGTTTAATTGTGTGGTCCTCACTCCAGAAACTTGTGGTTGCCACAAACCAAGTTGAATTGGTGAGACTCTATGATAAGATACTCAGTGAAAAACTAGAGCAAGATGTGCTGCTGCTGCCGGATGTCCCTCCCGCAGAAACAAAGTGTTTGCAGTTTACACCTTTCCCATGTTTTTACAATAAAACCAATTAGTGACATTCATACCCCAGGAACAAACATTATGTTACATAGTATAATAACTCTTCCAGGAGTGGATTTTTCTTCCTTCCAAGGGGGAGATTCCTCTCACTTCCTGTTGTCTTGTTTGGAAGTTGGATATTTATAACTTGGGAATGGTCAGCATTAATAATAATAATAATAGTAATAGTAATAATAATAATAATAATAATAATAATAATAATAATAAACATAAGATTCCTCTCACTTCCTGTTGTCTCAACCCTGTTCTTCACTAGCAAGTTGTTTGTAAGTTGGATGTTTATAACTTGAGGACAGCTCTGTTTATACAGGGTGAGGCAGCATAACTTCCCTTTTTAAAATGCGCGCCATTCAGTCGGTTGAAGACATAGCGGAGCGCTAGTGGTCTTGTTCGAAAGACAGGAGTATAAAGTTTTGTCCTGACACAGTTCAGTCACTATCATGCGTTGGAACAGTGAGGAGCGTGCTTTTGCCGTTAAGGCCTACTTTTCGAGCGGATTTGGAGTGGCCGGCCCGCTCTCCAGATTTGGCCCCTTGTGATTTTTTTCTATGGGGTTTTTGAAATCCCATGTTTATGTGAACCGTCCAAGGACCCTACAAGATTTGAAGACCAACATCCAGGAAGAAATTGCCAACATAACGCCTGCTATGCTGGCAAAAGCCATGACAAACGCCAGAAATCGGTTTACTCAGTGTATGGAGAATGGGAGACGTCACCTACCTTATTTGATCTTCAAAACTATGTAAAACAACACTTTTATAATGCGCCTACATTATAAAAAAAAATTCTGATTCATACAATGGGTTTTATTAAGTTTTGAAAAAAGGAAGTTATGCTGCCTCACCCTGTATAAAATAATAATTGTTATTCATTCGTTCAGTCGTTTCCGACTCTTCATGACTTCATGGACCATAAGAATAATATAATAACGCTAACTCAGGGATGGCCTGTGTGCGTGTATTAATACTAATGATATAATAAAATACAAATACTAATTATAATATAAGTTTCCCCTCTCTTCCTGTTGTCTCAGCCCTGTTCTTCACTGGTTAGTCCTTTGCAAGATGGATGTTTTACCTTGGGATGGCCTGCATTGTGTCCTTCCGCCTCTAATTTGAGGGAGGCGTGATCCAGATTAAACTTGCCAGCTTGGTTTCCTGTGACCTAGAATAGCAATGGGATATATGCCTCCCACTCACCAGGAGATGGAGGGAGAAGAGTGAGAGAGTCCTGAAACCAATCCGGAGCCAAGCTGGTGGAGCCGCCAAAGAGCACAAAACCCTGTAGAAGGGGTTTCAGGGTGTTCCTGTTTCCTGGCGTTTGCTTATTGAGAAGCGGTTTGAAAACTTATAAAAAGAAAGGTGGGCCCAAACTCGCCAAGGGCTTTCTGGATGCCATCACTGCTTTATTTATGTTTTGATGTATAATGCCACAAAATCCTCAAGTTGTGAGAGACCCGGCCACCTCCCACCCCAGGCCGCCCCCCTTATGAGGCGGTTCCTTTGTAATTGCCAATATGGCCTAATACAGGAGAGGCCAAGCAGAAAGGGGGCGCACGATCCCGAGGGAGTGCCCGCCTGCCAGCCTGTGTTCCTTCACTGCAGCCAATCTTTGTGGCCACTTAATGTGGGCCCAGTTCACCTGTCCGAGCGTATTGTCCCCTATGAACCATCAAGAGTGTTAAGATCATCTGGCGAGGCCCTGCTCTAGGTCCCGCCGTCTTCGCAGGCGCATCTGGTGGGAACGAGAGACAGGGCCTTTTCTGTGGTGGCCTTTCAGCTATGGAATTCCCTCCGAAATGAAATTAGATTTGCCCCCTCCCTCCTAACCTTTAGGAAGCTAGTGAAAACCTGGCTGTGCAACAAAGCTTTTGTGGAATGATGTCTGAGACCGGCAAGCGACTAATGGTACTGTTCACAATATATGGACTGGACATACGGATTGAGTTGGACACGATTTTATCCTGGCGAATGGCTTTTATGTAATTTTATGTAGTTTATGTAATGTAATTGGTAACTTAATGTTGTGTATTATGTTTTAGATTTTCAGTGTTAGCATTGAATCTTTGCTGTTAGTCGGTCTGAGTCACTCTGCAGAGGTAGAGAAGATCGGGATATAAAAGTTTGAAATAAATAATCTATATATATAAAAATGCTTTACAGTTCACCTACAGACAGAGAGCATTCTGAACCCCATGAACTGTTTACCCACAAGCATAGAGAAATTACATAGATTAGAAACCAAAACTGCTAAATAATAATTTATTTGTCGTGTCAGATTAACCAGTCAATTATATTACATTTCTAACAGAACAAAGCAATTAAACAGATAAAATACATTTGTGAGTTTGGTAGTTGGTTAAATGTCCTTTGACCAGTATCTGGCCACTTGGGAGTGCCTCTGGTGTTGCTGCAAGAACGTCCTCCATTGTGCATGTGGCAGGGCTCAGGTTGCATTGCAGCAAGTGGTCAGTGGTTTGCTCCTCTCCACATTCACATATCGAGGATTCCACTTTGTAGCCCCATTTCTGAAGGTTGGCTCTGCATCTCGTGGTGCCAGAGCGCAGTCTGTTCAGCACTTTCCAAGTCGCCCAGTCCTCTGTGTGCCCAGGGGGGAGTCTCTCATTTGGTATCAGCCATGGATTGAGGTTCTGGGTTTGAGCCTGCCACTTTTGGATTCTCGCTTGCTGAGGTGTTCCAGCGAGTGTCTCTGTAGATCTTAGAAAACTATTTCTAGATTTAAGTCGATGACGTGCTGGCTGATACCCAAACAGGGGATGAGCTGGAGAAGTTTCTGCCTTGGTCCTTTCACTATTGGCTGCTACTTCCCGGCGGATGTCAGGTGGTGCAATACCGGCTAAGCAGTTTCTCCAGTGGTGTAGGGCGCAGACACCCCGTGATAATGCGGCATGTCTCATTAAGAGCCACATCCACTGTTTTAGTGTGGTGAGATGTGTTCCACACTGGGAATTCATACTCAGCAGTAGAGTAGCACAGCGCAAGGTCTAATCAAGGTGGTCAGTTGAAACATTCACACCTAGCTCCAGCAGACAAGAGTTCTTTGTCCCATCCTGTTCATTCCACAGATATATAAACCCATTTTCCTACTTCCAACAGACCTCAGTACCTTTGAGGATGCTTGCCATAGATGCAGGCGAAACGTCAGGAGAAAATACCTCTAGACCATGGCCATATAGCCCGAAAAAACCTACAACAACCCAGTGATTCCGGCCATGAAAGCCTTTGACAGTAATCAAAGCCCTCCTGACAAAGAGCCACCCAGCCATAGATACAGATAGATAGATATGATTCACACACAGAGAGATATCGTATCATAGATTTGAAAGGGACCCTTAAAGAAGGACAATGATAGGTTGCATGTTGCAGAGTAGGCAAACCAGACACTCTCCACATCAACACTGACAAAGAAACAACAAGAAATACTGTTTACTCACAAGCAGAAAGAAATTTCATATGTTAGAAACCAACACTTTCTGATTACTTTATTTTCCAGATCAACAGACTGGGCCACAGCAATGCAATGATAATAATAATGTATTGTCATAGGCTTTCATGGCTGGAATCATTAGGTTCTTGTAGGTTTTTTCGGGCTATAGGGCCATGTTCTAGAGGCATTTCTCCTGACGTTTCGCCTGCATCTATGGCAAGCATCCTCAGAGGTAGTGAGGTCTGTTGGAATTAGGACAAGGGGTTTATATATCTGTGGAATGGCTGGGGTGGGGCAAAGAGCTCTTCTCTGCTGGAGCTAGGTGTGAATATTTCAACTGACCACCTTGATTAGCATTTGAAGGCTTGGCTGAGCCTGGGAAAATGTTCCCAGCAAATGTTCCCACAAGCATCAAGAAATTACATATATTAGAAACCAACACTTTCTCGTTACTTTATTTTCCAGATCAACAGACTGGGCCACAGCAACGCGTGGCAGGGGACAGCTAGTAAATAATAATAATACTGTTGTCAGGCAGGCCTTGTCTGTTGCCTTTTTGCAATAGAGTCCCCGGGCAGTTCCCTTCTTGGCTTCCTTGCCCAGGCCCAGTTCCATTTCAGGTCCTCCCCGGCAGCCGAGCGGTGATTGGTCCGCCGAACTGGCAGGAACACGTGGACAGCGGGCGAGGCGGAAGGCATAACAGCAGGAATAAGCAGTGGGCGTGGCCTGAATCAGGAAAAAACCCTGACAAGAAAAAAAGGTTCAGTCGAGCTAATCAGCGCTTGCCTTTGAAAACTCCCCACCAATGGGAGTCCGGGATTAATAGGAACGGGGCGTGCGCGTGCGTCCACAAGCTCTTGGGGGAGTGGGCGGGGCTAGAAAAGCCTTTTAACACCAAGAAACAAACAACACGGGCCCGACGGAGGAAGGCGGCCAATGGGAGCCGAGTTCCGCGAACAGGGGAGGGGCGGAGCGACTCGTGGCAGCGCGTTTCCTCCAATCAGCGAGAGCGTGACAGGCTCCACGCAACCAAGCCTGCCCCCGGCCGCAGCCAAAGCAGCAGGCCCCGCCCCCTTAGGGGGCGGGCCTGCTGCTTTGGCTGCGGCCGGGGGCAGGCTTGGTTGCGTGGAGCCTGTCAGGCTGAAGGGAGGTAAACACTCTCTCCGAGGAAGGAAGGAAGGAAGGAAGATGGCGACTGCTGCCCAGGTGCGCGAGAACATCCGGATGCTGCTGGAGGCGGCGGAGTTCCTGGAGAGGAGGGAGAGGGGTAGGTAGGCCTGTTGTTGTTGTGCTTGGCCAGGGCCCGCTTCGGCCCTCACTCCTGGCGTTTGGGACTGCAACTCCCACAATTCCTCACAGCCTACCGGCCCAGACCTGCTTCCCACGAAATCAGCCTCCCAATAGGGTGGAAAAAGACCCCCAGGGGCCACCAAGAGCCGCCCAGGCCAACGCCAGGCAGGAAGGTGGAATTACTAGAGTATTATTATTATTCTTTGAAGGAGCTGGGGGTGGTGACGACTGACAGGGAGCTCTGGCGTGGGCTGGTTCATGAAGTCAGGAAGAGTCAGAAACGACTTAACGAATGAACAACAACATTATTATTATTCCTTGAAGAAGCTGGGGGTGGTGACGACTGACAGGGAGCTCTGGCATGGGCTGGTTCATGAAGTCAGGAAGAGTCGGAAACGACTGAATGAATGAACAACAACAACATTATTATTATTATTATTGTTGTTGTTGTTATTCCTTGAAGGAGCTGGGGGTGGTGACGACTGACAGGGAGCTCTGGCATGGGCTGGTCCATGAAGTCAGGAAGAGTCAGACACGACTGAACGAATGAACAACAACATTATTATTATTATTATTGTTATTATTATTCCTTGAAGGAGCTGGGGGTGGTGACGTCTGACAGGGAGCTCTGGCATAGGCTGGTCCATGAGTCACAAAGAGTCAGAAACGACTGAACGAATGAACAACAACATTATTATTATTAATACTATAGCATTATTATTACTCCCAGGCAGGAAAGGCAGCGCCGATCCCTCCCGACAGATGGCCACCCAGCCATAGATGTGGTAGATCGAAAGATATTTCATATATATTAGAAATATCCTAATCCTAGAGTGGAAAGAGATCCCCAAGAGCCACCCAGGCATCGTCATCATCGAATCCCAGAGTTGGAAGGGACCCCAAAGGCCACCGAGCCCAACCTCCTTTGCTCTACTGAGCCCTCCTGACAGATGGTCACCTTGCCTCTGCTACATCATCATCATTATTACCGTTGGAAGGGACCCCAAAGGCCACCCAGCCCAACCTCCTTTACTCTACTGAGCCCTCCTGACAGATGGTCACCCTGCCTCTGCTACATCATCACCATTATTACAGTTGGAAGGGACGCCAAAGGCTACCCAGGCCGCTCCCTTCTCTTTCCCTGTCCAGGCCTTTCTCTCCCCCCCCCCCTCAAATCTCAATGTTTCCTCCTGGAAGCTGCAGACTGAACACTATATTATGATGATGATGATGATGATGATGATGATGATGATGATGATGATGATGATGATGATGATGATTATTATTATACTACATTTATACCCCACCCTTCTCACTCCAGTGGGGGACTCAGGGTGGCTTACAACCCGTGGCATACAATGCCGCATTACACATATAATAATAAACATAACATATGAATGTAAACAATTAACATATCAATTTAAACATACAATAATAAACATGAGATAATAATTCAAATATAAATACAATAACAAGCTTAGAAGTAATTCAAATAAATAATGTGTGTGTGTGGGGGGGGGGGGTGTTAATTCATCCCTGCCCCTTTTCCTCCCTCTGTGTTCTGTGGCCCGTGGGATTCAGCCCTTTGCAACCCCTTTCCCTGAAATACAGGCCTCATGACGGGTGCCTCACAGGAGGAGGATTCACACTCGGCTCTCCAGATCGGAAAGGAGCTGGCACTCTCTTTGAGGCATTTGCTTTGACATTTGGAGGAGTTCCCTTCCTGGCCTTCCTTCTTTCCTCCCACAGATTGTTATGAGGGGTCTTTTGTATGTGTGTGTGTGTGTGTGTTTGGAGGGGGGGCTCTACCGCTCGCAGCCTCCCCCCTCCCCCTCCTCTTCCTCCCCCTCCTCCTCTGCCATTTGCAAATACAAAGCCATGTTGGCCTGCTGATTCAGTCTCAAAGAAACAAGGGGCCCAGGATGGAGCTTTGTGGTGCCTTTAAGCCCAGTGGGTTTGTGTGGTTTCAGCACTGTGTTTTTCATGGATTTAGAGCTGTTTCGTGGTGGTGCTGAAATAAACCCGTTTTGGGAGCGCACCAAAGATCTGGTTTCTCTCCTCCTCCTCCTCTCCCTTTCTCAGTAGGTATCCTTTCTTTGTGGTGGTGGTGGTGGAGGAGGAGGAGGAAAGAAAGACCTGTTTTCTTGACGTGATTTTCCCTCCCTCCTTCTCGCCAAGTCGTCTTGGCCAGGGAGCGAAAGGTAGAGAGGATGCGCTGCTTGACTCCCCCCCCCCCCCCTTTTCCTTATATTTTGCTTGGGCCTTATTTATGGAGTCTTTGGGTTTTTGTCCCCCCCTGCTGCCCAAGACACAACACATTTCCGGTTGCCAGGCCCCATTAGGGCAGACCCATTAAATGAATATTATTATTATTATTATTATTATTATTATTATTATTATTATTTTACTGACACAAAAGTACAGTATGTCACAGCATCAACGAGATCTATATGCTGGATTTCATATCACAAAATCACAAGTTGAACACTTCCCAAGCGTCTAGGACAGTGTGTTGTATTTATTACTAGCTGTCCCCTGCCACGCGTTGCTGTGGCCCACATGGGGGTTCTGTGTGGGAGGTTTGGCCCAATTCTATCGTTGGGGTTCAGAATGCTCTGTGATTGTAGGTGAACTATAAATCCCAGCAATTACAACTCCCAAATGTCAAGATTCTATTTTCCCCAAACTCCACCAGTGTTTACATTTGGGCATATTGAGTATTCATGTAGAATTTGGTCCAGATCCATCATTGTTTGAGTCCACAGTGATCTCTGGATGTAGATGAACTACAACTCCAAAACCAAAGGACACTGCCCACCAAACTCTTCCAGTATTTTCTGTTGGTCATTGGGGAACGGTGTGCCAAGTTTGGTTCAATTCCATCGTTGGTGGGGTTCAGAATGTTCTTTGATTCTAGGTGAACTATAAATCCCAGCAACTACAACTCCCAAATGACAAAATCATTTTTTGAGTGAAGGACATACATTGGGTTGTTAGGTGTCTTGTGTCCAAATTTGGTGTCAATTCATCCAGTGGTTTTTGAGTTCTGTTAATCCCACAAACGAACATTACATTTTTATTTATACAGATGATGATGATTATTGTTGTTGTTGTTATTGTTATTGTCGTCATGGACCAGGAGTGCAAAACACCAAAACATTAAACACTGAGTATTTTCGTAAAAGCGTTAACATTAAGGCCAGAGATTCAAAACACTAAAAGCAGAAAGTCATAGCTGAATCAGTTTAAGGTATTGCAAAACCCATCATCCGTTGTCCATACATATTGTTTTTGTGATAAATCACTATGCTTTAAGTATTTTCAATTTGTAATAATAAAAATACATCCTGCATATCAGATATTTACATTACAATTCATAACAGTAGTAAAAGTAGCAACAGAAATAATTTTATGTTTGGGGGGGTCGCCGCAATATGAGGAACTGTATTTAGGGGTCACGGCATTAGAAAGGTTGAGAACCACTGCCTTAGAAGGTAGTCTCAGCATCGCATGAGAGGTTGTTAGGAGAAAGACTGTGGCCTTTCTCAATGCATCTAGTGAGTTTAAAGCAATTGGACATTTTTGGGAAAAGGACTTAGCTTTACAGTAGAATGGGGTCCTCTGGGGGGCTTCTTTATACATTCCTGACATGTTTCTTTGTGTTGAGAGTTACTACAATGAATGTTGCCCTTTCTCCCCCAGAGGCTGAGCATGGCTATGCATCCATGTTACCATATAGCCCCAAGGATCGAGGAGATGCCTTCAAGAGGAAAAACAAGTCCAAGAAAAACAGCAGTAGTAGCAGGTAATTCTTTATTTCAAGAAGTGGTTCTTTCCCCTCGCCAGCCCTGCTTCTGCACTGTCCACCACACACAGTCCAGTCACTTGCAGGACAAATACAGTTGCAATTTAACAAGCACATTGAACACACGCAAGTCACACCAGTCTTAGTCATAATTAAAGGAATAGTTGAGCTAATTGGTCACGGTGAATTGCTAAAACCCCCAAATCCACTTGGTGCAGAAGTTGCACAATAGTTTCAGTTTTGTTTCTTTTCACTCATTTTAATACAGTGTGAAGATGCAGTTGGAGGCATTTCTTTGTGACATTTTCTGCGTTGCCTCCCAGACCACAAGCATTTCCAAGGCAATGAACCAACAGAAACTTAAAGAAATCAAGTTCAAAGTATTTCTGAGAAATCTTACACAAGTCTGTGCACTAGGCCTTCTCTGGCTATCTGGGGACAAACTACATTCCAGCCGCCTTTATGTCATGAGGATCAGGAAATACCCAGTGACACCTATGTCCTTACCTCACCCTGCTATTTTGCCAGGTCTTGAGAGGATACATGATGTCCTCTTCTCTGGGGAATGGCATCGAAGGGCCACCAGGATAGGGTTTCAATGTTAACCCCTTTTCTTCTTCACCCCCCCCCCCCCCCCCCGACCCATCCTTTTTTCAAATCTTTACTTGAGTTTGTATTGTCGAAGGCTTTCATGGCCGGGAATCACTGGGTGTTGTGGGTTTTTTTGGGCTATATGGCCATGTTCTAGAGGCATTCTCCTGACGTTTCGCCTGCATCTATGGCAAGCATCCTCAGAGGTAGTGAGGTCTGTTGGAACTAGGAAAAAGGGTTTATATATCTGTGGAATGACCAGGGTGGGACAAAGAACTCTTGTCTGCTGGAGCTAGGTGTGAATGTTTCAACTGACCACCATGATTAGCATTTGATGGCCTGGCAGTTGTTTCATGTGGCCTGTTAGTGCCTGGAGCAATCTTTTGTTGAGAGGTGATTAGATGTCCCAGATTGTTTCCCTTCTGTTGTTTTGCTGTTGTAATTTTAGAGTTTTTTAATACTGGTAGCCAGATTTTGTTCATTTTCATGGTTTCCTCCTTTCTGTTGAAACTGTCCACATGCTTGCAGATTTCAATGGCTTCTCTGTGTAGTCTGACATGGTAGTTGTTGGTGTGGTCCAGCATTTCTGTGTTCTCAAATAATATGCTGTGTCCAGGTTGGTTCATCAGGTGCTCTGCTATGGCTGACTTCTCTGGTTGAAGTAGTCTGCAGTGCCTTTCATGTTCCTTGATTCGTGTTTGGTGTTCCATGGTGGTCCATGGTGGTCCATGCCTTAGTTACCTCTAGACTGGATTACTGTAATGCTCTTTATGTGGGGCTACCCTTGAAGACGATCCGGAAACTACAACTTGTCCAACGTTCGGCAGCCAGATGAATAACTGGGGCAACCTACAGGGAGCGGTCAACCACTCTGTTTAAGGAGCTCCACTGGCTGCCGTTTATTTTCCAGTCCCAATTCAAGGTACAGGTTATCACCTATAAAGCCCTAAATGGTTTGGGACCCGCCTACCTTCATGACCGACCGTATCTCGCTCCATGTACCAACCTGGGCCCTTCGTTCCTCAGGGGAGGTCCTCCTTTCACCCCTACCAATCTCACAAGCTCCTCTTGTCGGCACAAGGGAGAGAGCCTTCTCTTCTGTGGCCCCTCAACTTTGGAACTCTTTACCTGGGGAGATCAGGACAGCCTCTTCACTGGAAACATTTAAAAAGAACCTCAAAACCTGGCTTTTCTGCTGCGCCTTTGGCGAGTAAGTGCACAGCATGATATTTTACACCCCCTCAACATTTTCGGCTAATGGAGTTCATGCCCTCCAAATAGGATGTTCTGTCCCACAACTTCGTGTGTTTTATGAGTTCCATTTAAACGTCCTGGTCCTATTTTATCTCATCATAGCCTGTTAATTGTTTTTTATTCGGAATATGTGGCCCACCCATTGTCATCTCTATCATGATTGTGTCTATTGGGATTTTTATTTAATTTTTATTTTATTATTACTATTATTATTTTATTATTTTAATGTCATTTTGATAATGTTGTTGCTGTATTATGTTGTCCGGGCTTGTCCCCATGTAAGCCGCTTCGAGTCCCCATCAGGGAGATGGTCGCGGGGTAGAAATAAAGTTTATTATTATTATTGTTGTTGTTGTTGTTATTAGGGCAATGCTGTGTGTGGTGGTCCCTATGTAGACTTGTCCACAGCTACATGGTATACGGTAGACTCCTGCAGAAGTGAAAGGATCCGTCTTGTCCTTTGCTGAATGTAGCATTTGTTGGATTTTCTTGGTGGGTCTGTAGATAGTTTGTATGTTGTGTTTCCTCATCAGCTTCCCTAGGTGGTCAGTGGTTCCCTTGATGTATGGCAAGAACACTTTTCCTCTGGGTGGATCTTTGTCTTGACTCTCGTGGCTTGTTGTCGGTCTTGCAGCTCTTCTGATGTCTGAGGTGGAGTATCGATTGGCCTGTAGAGCCCAGTTTAGGTGGTTCAGTTCATCTTGGAGGAGGTGGGATTTGCAGATTCTTTTTGCACGGTCTGCCAAGGCTTTAATGGTGCTCCTTTTTTGACTTGGGGTTTTTTTTACTTGAGTTGCTGTTCTTCCTAGGAAAGATACAGTTTAGAATGCACAAAATTATATTTAGATGAGACAAATATCGCCAAAAATAGTCCAGCCACGTGTTTCATAGATTCTTCCTCCAAGAAGAGGTTCTCTGTTAATTTCAGGGTAAAGCCTAGAGGATTAACTCCTGCTACAGAGCCTTCTTTGCCCAGGTTTGGAGTGAGCATCATATTCCGCTAAGCTATTGTGTTCAAACCTGGTGTCCTCCAGGTGCTGAATGTAATGCCTAACCATTGGATGCATTGTCTTGGCTAATAGGAATTCTAATTCAAAATACATGGAACGTACTAGATGTGGAAAGGGTAATATCCACTGCTGCTTGAGCCCATGTTCTGTGAAACTGTTAGATTCAGAAAAGTAGCATTTCTTGTGCCAATCTTGCAGAATTTATTTGCAAAATATTTGGTTGGGATACAGTAAAAAGACTGAGGTGTTTCATGGCTCCCAGGCTCAATGGCCGTGCTCTAGCAGCATTTTATCCTGACAGTTTGGCATTGGCCACACAGAACAGCAACCACACAACAACACTTTGGTGATTCTGGCTTGAAAACACACATTCAGAAATTTAATTTGCCTCGATTTATGGAAGAATTGGTCTAAAGGACAGTTAACGACTATATTGATAGTGCAGGGCAACTGATTGTGCTATCACTGATTTTAAGTCCTCACATTGGTAGGTTTGCATAGATCAGGGGTCCTCAAACTAAGGCCGAGGGGCCAGATATGGCCCTCCAAGGTCATTTACCCGGCCCTCACTCAAGATCAACCTAAGTCTGAAACAACTTGAAAGCACACAACAACAACAATCCTATCTCCTCAGCGAAAAGAAGGCACACACTTCCCACTGAAATACTAATAAGTTTATATTTGTTAAAATTGTTCTTCATTTTAATTATTGTATAGTTTTTAAGTGTTGTGTTTTTGTTTTGTTTTTTGCACTACAAATAAGATATGTGTAGTGTGCATAGGAATTCATTCATGTTTTTTTTTTCAAATTATAATCCGGCCCTCCAATAGTTTGAGGGACTCTGACCTGGCCCTCTGTTTAAAAAGTTTGAGGACCCCTGGCATAGATGGTAGTCATCGCACATTCTATCTATCCCACCCATGGGTTTTTATCAATTTTCCCCATTGCATTTGGCCTAGCTCGCTTTGTTTAATTCTATTACCATTTTATCATTTATTTTTATTATGGTTCTGTTATTTTTATTTCATTACTATGTAATGAAATTACTAAGCATTTTATTTGATGTTATTGTTTGTTTATATGTATTTATGCCTTATTGTAATTGTTTGGGCTTGGCCTCATGTTAGCCGCCCTGAGTCCCTCCGTGGGGATGGTGGCAGGGTATAAATAAAGTTTATTAAAATTATTATTATTATTATTATTATTGACACAAAAGCATAATATGTCACAGCAAACGAGGTCTATATGCTGGATTTCGTATCACAAAATCACAAGTCGAACACTTCCCAAGCGTCTAGGACTGTGTGATGTATTTTCGAATGATGCGCGCAGATCCAAGTCAGGTGGCCTTTTGCAGCTGGCAGGTCGTGATTTTGTCAATGTTTATTGTTTCCAAATGCGGGCTGAGATCTTTTGGCACGGCACCCAGTGTGCCGATAACCACTGGGACCACCTGTACTGGTTTATGCCAGAGCCTTTGCAGTTCGATTTTGAGGTCTTGATAGCGGCTGAGTTTTTCCTGTTGTTGAAGGCTTTCATGGCCGGAATCACGGGGTTGTTGTAGGTTTTTTCGGGCTATATGCCCATGGTCTAGAGGCATTCTCTCCTGACGTTTCGCCTGCATCTATGGCAAGCATCCTCAGAGGTAGTGAGGTCTGTTGGAACTAGGCAAAGGGGTTTTTCCTGTTGTTTTTCCTCAATGCAACTGTCATCCGGTATTATTATTATTATTATTATTATTATTATTATTATTATTATTATTATGGTAATGAAGCATACCAAGCAGGTTCTTGAAGTCTTCAAACATGACCGGTTAAGTGGAAATCTCATATCTGTAATCTTTATTGTTTGAATACACTATGGCTGACAACTACCTTTCCTTATTCTAATCAAGCTCTGTCTCTTTCCATCCCCTTCCCTAGATCTACACACAATGAAATGGAGAAGAACAGGTGAGTACTCTCAAAATCAGTATACATTTTAATTCCAGTGGACTGAAGAAACAACTCCATCTTAAAAAGGGGTCAGTTTAGAGAGATAGATTTTTCTGGACAGAACTAAGCAGAATGACCCAACTGCCCAATGTGTGCTGCCGCTGGGCACTCACTTAGTGCTAAATCACAGTCTAAGGCAGGCCTGGGACAACTTTGGCCCTCCCTCCAGGTGTTTTGCACTTCAACTCTCACAATTCCTGTTAGGAATTCTGGGAGCTGAAATCCATAACACCTGGAGGGAGGGATGAAGTTGGCCCAGGCCTGGCCTCCTGTCTTTATTTTCCATCAATGGCTTGAACCTAGAAATGGCCGGTGGTTTGAACATTGCCATGACCCATGTATGCCGTGCTCTGGCAGTCACAAGAATGTTGGAAGTATTATTATTTATTTATTTACGACATTTATATGCCACCCTGAATTGGAAAATCTGTGGTTGCCGCATATTTTTTTTAATTTATTAATCAATTTTATATACCACCACTCTCTGAAGGCTCAGAGCGGTTTACAATATACATATGCGATACATTACATTTTAAATCAAAGAAAAATTTGAATCAGCAAGATTCAAATGCCAGCCTAAATAAATAAGTTTTACAAGCTCTACAAAAAGATAGTAAGTCTTGTGTTTCCACTGGCAAGGCATTCCACAGGTAAGAAGCCACCACCGTGAATACTCTACGCCTAGTAGACATCAGGTGAAAGGTCCTAAAATTGGGAACTTCAAGGAGATTCTGATCGTCTGAACGGAGTGATCTCGGGGGTTGGTAGGGGGTGAGGCGGTCCCTCAGGTACTCCGGCCCCAGGCCATATAAGGCCATATATGGTGGGAGAAGCTCAAAAATGGCAATGGCTGTGTCCCTGCCGTATGCAGCGACTGTATGAAAGCATTAAGGGTGACGCTGTACAAGTACAGTAGAAGAAAATCCATTCATCAGGATTTGTGGACTTAATGCGGTCCCGATGGTGAGGTGAAGGGGTGCCTCACCGGGAAGGTGTAAGTGAAGGGCGGAGCAAGCTGCAGGCTTCCTGGGCACCCGGGATATGGAAAAAAGAGATAGAGTGGCTCTGGGCCCAGACAAACATACCTCTTTTACCTGTCTGGCCTGCTCTTGTATCCTATTACCATACCTCCTCCTCTGCCTCTCAGATCCCGCTCCTGAAGACTGCAGTGAAGTGGTGCAGGTGCGCATGTGCAAGATCTGAGAGGCAGAGAAGGAGGGACAGTAATAGGAAAATTACCATACTGAAATAAAATCTGATGCTTTTTAAATTTTTATTTGGTGTGCGTTGGAAGAGGGGTAGCTTATACGGCGAATATATCCCAAACTCTATATTTTAACTGGAAAAGTTGGGGGTCATCTTATACACCCAGTCGTCTTATATGCCGGAATATATGGGGTACATTAGTCATTTTTCAGAGATGGTATCTAGTGTTGTACGTTACGGGTAAATGGCATCTTTTTCTATGCTGGCTGAGCATGTTGGAAGCCATGTGCATTGGGTATTAGATCCATTGCAGTCTATGAGAAATACCCACCTCACAGGGCTTCAAACATGCTCAGCCAGCATAGCAAAAAGATGCCATTTACCTGTAACGTACAAAATTAGATACCATCTCTAAAAAGTGACTGATGTATGTCAAGTTAGATAGCTTAAGTAGTATCACAGGTGCCACACTTCTGTTCCTGTGAGCTAGAAGGTGAAGTTGATGCCTGTGCACATGGGGAGATGGTTGGCTCTTGGCATGGCCTCCTCTATGGCCTTTTGAGAGGTTTGTTAGATGTTTACGGTAGAAATTGGAGCCTGATTTGAAAACAGAGGAGAGGAAGAAGCAGAGGCCTAAAGAATATGCAACGCTTCCCACTCTTGTCATGGTGGTGCAGTGAGTGTGACCTTCAATGTCTGGGCAGCATGCTTTCGTGTGTCAGTTGCTGAGTGTCATGAGTGGGAGCATGCTTTGGTGCATGCCTTGTCAAAATCCCAGAGGCATCTGGTGCTGTGCTGGGGAACATAAATGCTAGGCCAGATAGTCCTTTTGACTGTGGGTTCTGTTTATGTTCTCCATGGAGGTAAGGAACATTTTGAGGTATTGTTTGGTTTCCAGGCTTTATGGCCATGTTTTGGCAGCATTTTCTCCTGACATTTCATCTGTGACTGGCATCTTCTGCTCTTTGATTGTAGGTGAACTATAAATCCCAGCAACTACAACTCCCAAATGACAAAATCAATTTTTTTTGAGTGAAGGACATACATTGGGTTGTTAGGTGTCTTGTGTCCAAATTTGGTGTCAATTCATCCAGTGGTTTTTGAGTTCTGTTAATCCCACAAATGAACATTACGTTTTTATTTATGTAGATAAGAAACACACAACGCGGAGAAGGAAATTCGGAAGTCAATCATAACCCCCCCCCCCCAATCTCCCAACATGGATCCCACCCCCCCTGACCCTTGGTTTATCCCGATAGGTTCCCCAATTTTACCTGCTAGGATTATTTTTTTATGAATGTGGTTTGTTTGTTGTTGTTTTTTTTTTCTTTTTTCTTAGCTTAGTCCCATCCCCTGTCCCCCCAATCGGACCCTTAGTTCCTATCCCACCCCTCTACCTCAAGTTTTTATCATTGTAAACACTGGAATGTATTCAATAAAAATTATTTTTTAAAAAAACAACAACCCAGTGATTCCAGCCATGAAAGTCTTCGACAATACAAATATCAGTATTGTTCCAGTGACCCTTTGGAACAAGACGTTTCACCAATCCCCTGTTTGTTCTGTATTGATGTCTTATCATTGCTCCCGTATTGACAGAATCAGGCTGCATCCATGGAGACTGGTAACATACAGACAGCCTAAAGATTGTGGCAATGCCACTTAGAACTAGGAACCAGGGCAAAGGAGGCACAGAGGGAGCCAGTGTGGTGTGTAGTTTGGGTGCTGAATTAGGTCTCTGCTCAGCCACGGAAATTTACCCAGCGACTTGCACTCAAAGCCCCGCTGAACAAATCTTCCTAGGAAAACCCTGCGAGATGAGGTTCACCTCAGGGTCACCATCTGTCAGAAGCAACTGGAAGACACAACAGGAAAGAGAGCGCAGCATTTGCTTCTTGGCAAAAGAGGCTTTCTTTTGCCCGAACATGGGCCAACTTCAGCCCTCCCTCCAGGTGTTTTGGACTCCAGCTCCCACAATAACTCCTAAGAATCCTAGAATCAAAGAGTTGGAAGAGACCTCATGGGCCATCCAGTCCAACCCCCTGCCAAGAAGCAGGAATGTTGCATTCAAATCACCCCTGACAGATGGCCATCCAGCCTCTGTTTCAAAGCTTCCAAAGAAGGAGCCTCCATCACACTCCGGGGCAGAGAGTTCCACTGCTGAACAGCTCTCACAGTCAGGAAATTCTTCCTCATTTTCAGATGGAATCTCCTTTCTTGTAGTTTGAAGCCATTGTTCCATGTCCTAGTATCCAGTGAAGCAGAAAACAAGCTTGCTCCCTCCTCCCTGTGGCTTCCTCTCACATATTTATACATGGCTATCATATCTCCTCTCAGCCTTCTCTTCTTCAGGCTAAACATGCCCAGCTCCTTAAGCCGCTCCTCATAGGGCTTGTTCTCCAGACCCTTGATCATTTTAGTTGCCCTCCTCTGGACACATTCCAGCTTGTCAATATCTCTCTTGAATTGTGGTGCCCAGAATTGGACACAATATCCCAGGTGTGGTCTAACCAAAGCGGAATAGAGGGGTAGCATGACTTCCCTAGATCTAGACACTATGCTCCTATTGATGCAGGCCAAAATCCCATTGGCTTTTTTTGCCGCTACATCACATTGTTGGCTCATGTTTAACTTGTTGTCCACAAGGACTCCAAGATCTTTTCCACACATACTGCTCTCGAGCCAGGCATTGTCCCCCATTCTGTATCTTTGCATTTCGTTTTTCCTGCCAAAGTGGAGTATCTTGCATTTGTCACTGTTGAACTTCATTCAACAGTTTTGGCCCATCATCTCTCTAATCTGTGAGGATAGTTTTGAATCCTGCTCCTGTCCTCTGGAGTATTGGCTCTCCCTCCCAATTTGGTGTCGTCTGCAAACTTGATGATCCTGCCTTCTAGCCCTTCATCTAAGTCATTAACAAAGATGTTGAACAGAACCGGACCCAGGACGGAACCCTGCGGCACTCCACTTGTCACTTCTTTCCAGGATGAAGAGGACGCATTGGGGAGAATCACCCTCTGGGTTCGTCCATTTAACCAATTACTGATCCACCTCACCGTAGTTTTGCCTAGCCCACATTGGACTAGTTTGTTTGCCAGAAGGTCATGGGGGACCTTATCAAGGCCTTACTGAAATCCAGGTACGCTCCATCCATGGCATTCCCCGCATCTACTCAGTTTGTAACTCTATCGAAAAAAGAGATCAGATTAGTCTGGCATGACTTGTTTTTGATAAATCCATGTTGACTATTAGTGATGACCACATTTATTTCAAAGTGTTTGCAGACCACTTCCTTAACAACAAGAGCTTAACTCCTCTGAACTGAGAAATAAACAAGGTGAGCAGGGCCTTGAGCTCAACATAATGGAAAACCGACCTCGCCCTTTTTGATGTGATGGCTCACACTGCTGTTAGCATTTAAGGGTTACTAATAACTTAGTCTTGGAAAAGTCATCTGTGTCTCCTCTAATGCTTGCTCATCTGTTTCGTGCTTGACACGTAGTTCTCAGAACTGAACTGAGGAAATACGTCAGTGTTTGGAAATGAGGAAGCTATTGCAGAAATGGGCATGTGACCTCTATGGACTATTGAGATTTCTCAAATCTTCCGTAATCCCTTAATCTCAGTAATTCAGACTATATTTCAAAGGTTCCTGCAATCTGCTTTAGCTGCTTAGCTCCTCAGAGACTGCCACACCTGCTTTCTATGGTGTGCTCTTTTGCCCTCTGGCCTCAGATTTAAGAGAGGAACAAACATCTAGATGGCATTATTGTATGTATATATGATCTCTTCGATCACCTGCTCGCGCTTCCACCTCCTTCGCAGGCACAATTGGTGGGGACGAGAGAGAGGGCCTTTTCGGTGGTGGCTCCTCGACTCTGGAACTCACTTCCCAAGGACATTAGACATGCCCCAACGCTGGCAGTCTTTAGGAGGAGCCTGAAAACATGGTTTTTCCAGTGTGCCCTCCCAGAATAAGGAAAACTCTTAGCAATATGTCCCCAAATGCACTTTAACATTGATTTAGGATTGCCTGCACGCCCTCACCTTTCTTTGAAAACCGTATCCTAGTTATTCCCTACCTTGTTCATTTTAAATTATTACATTTGGCCCGGCCATAGGTTTGTAAATGCTTGTATGTTATTGTTATTGTTTATTGTTTATTTTTGTTGAGATTTATTTTACTGTTTTTTATTGATTATTTTGTTATTGCCTTAGTTTTATTGATGAATAAAGGTTTGGCCTCATGTAAAGGCTTGGCTTGGCCTCATGTAAGCCGCACCGAGTCCCCTGGGGAGATGGTAACAGGGTACAAATAAAGTATTATTATTATTATTATTATTATTATTATTATTATTATTATTACATACCTTGTAAGCTGCTCTGAGTCCGCTTCGGGGTGAGAAGGGTGGCATATAAATGCCGCAAATAAATAAGTAAATAAATAAATTAATATATCCTTACAGGCCTCAGTCCCTGGGCTCCTTTCTATAGAAATTAAAGCCAAATTTCATGGGCAAAAGGTATATTGGGATCTACTGATAGATCTCTGCATGAAGTAGATTGATGAGAAAAGACAACTGGTGTTAGTTCGTGTAAGACTGGTGTTTCCTCTGGTCTCTCCTTAGGCAGGAGTTACTTACTTAGGCGATCCCTCGTTGGCTGAGTAGGATAGTCTTCCAGGATCAGTATTCTTGTGGGTCCGTAGGTGACTGTGGAGCCCTATTCTTGATCTGCATCTTCTCCCACAGTGAGGGCATTGGTTTCCAGGTGGAAGGTAATCTCGGTCGGGGTTGGCTTGACGCGCTTTCCTCTTGGCATGTTTCTCTCTTTTGCCCTCCATTCGTGCCTCTTCAAATTCTGCAGCACTGCTGGTCACAGCCGACCTCCAGCTGGAGCGCTCAAGGGCCAGGGCTTCCCAATTCTCAGTGTCTATGCCAGAGTTTTTAAGGTTGGCTTTGAGCCCATCTTTAAATTTCTTTTCCTGCCCACCAACATTCCGTTTTCCATTCTTGAGTTCGGAGTAGAGCATCTGCTTTGGGAGACGGTGGTCGGGGATCTGGACAACGTGGCCGGTCCAGTGGAGTTGATGGCGGAGGACCATTGCTTCAATGCTGGTGGTCTTTGCTTCTTCCAGCACACTGACATTTGTCCGCTTGTCTTCTCAAGAGATTTGCAGGATTTTCCAGAGGCAGCACTGATGGAATCATTCCAGGAGTTGCATGTGAAGTCTGTAGACAGTCCACATCTCCCAGGCGTATAGCAGGGTTGGGAGGACAATAGCTTTATAAACAAGTACCTTGGTATCCCTATTGATATCTTGGTCCTCAGACACTCTCTGCTTCTTTTGGAAAAATGCTGCACTCACAGAGCTCAGGTGGTGTTGTATTTCGGTGTCGATGTTGGCTTTGGTGGAGAGGTGGCTGCCAAGGGAGCAGAAATGGTCAACATTTTCTAATATTACACCGTTAAGCTGTATCTCTGGTATTGGAAAGGGTTGGCTGGTGACTGCTGGAAGAGCACTTTGGTTTTCTCAATGTTCAATGACAGGCTGAAGCATACGAGACGCTCGGCCTGTCATTGAACATTGTTAGGCAGGAGCGCAGGGCTCGGCTGAAGGGGAAACTCAAGGGAAAGTGGGTGAAAAGGGCACTGCAGATCCTTTAAGGAGCAGAGTAGAAGAGTTCAGCCATCTCCCAATCACCTTGGTTTGAATGGGGAGGCTGCAAGATCGTGCCAGCCGGGTGGAGGGCATTGGCAGAGGTCACAGCCAGTTAACAGGCTTAATGGGGAAGGAGAGCTGCCCACGTTTTCAAGGACAGACTCGTGCAGCTTTGGGGTGGCCCTCAGTTGTGTAATCCTCAGCAGTAAATTCTTAGCTGTTGCAGTTGCTGAAACGTCTTGTTGGTGAGCACCTAACATACAAATAATATATTAGACAACTGTTTCCAGCTGCCCTAAAACCTTACTAGGAAACATCAAAACTTACCTGTCTTGACTCATGCCTAATGCGCCATCGAATCTAATGCACGCCTCAATTTTCAAAACCCTGAAGCCCAAAAAATAATTTGCTTGCAAATGTAATCCATAGCAGCACAAAGTGCAATCTTTTTAATTTGGCCAAAAATGGTGTGCATTATATTGGCTGCCTGCTTAGGATTCCTTCTTTAAAAACAAAACTGCTAGGACACCAAAGCTTCCAGGAATGGAAAGGAAAACCTTGGGGTGCATCTATGCACTAAAATGAATCCGCTTTAATTGTCTTGGTTCAATGCTATGGAGTCCTGGAGGATGTAGTTTTACAACATCTTGAGCCTTCTCTGCCAAAGGAGGCTGGTGCCTCACCAAACTAGAAATCCCAGGATTGCATAATATTTTTTAAAAGTTATTGTGTCGGGAGCAACCAACCAAAATTGTATTACATTTTTAACAAAACAAACAAGCAGACAAAACAAATAGACAGACAGACAAAACACAAAGTTTGCAAGCTTGGAAGTTGATTAAATGTCCTTTGACCAGTATCTGGCCACTTGGAGTGCCTCTGGTGTTGCCGCAAGGAGGTCCTCCATTGTGCATATGGCAGGGCTCAGGTTGCATTGCAGCAGGTGGTCAGTGGTTTGCTCTTCTCCGCACTCGCATGTCGTGGATTCCACTTTGTGGCCCCATTTCTGAAGGTTGGCTCTGCATCTCGTGGTGCCAGAGCACAGTCTGTTCAGCGCCTTCCAAGTTGCCCAGTCCTCTGTGTGCCCAGGGGGGAGTCTCTCATTTGGTATCACCCATGGATTGAGGTTCTGGGTTTGAGCCTGCCACTTTTGGACTCTCGCTTGCTGAGGTTTTCCAGCGAGTGTCTCTGTAGATCTTAGAAAACTATTTCTTGATTTAAGTCGTTGATGTGCTGGCTGATATCCAAACAGGGGATGAGCTGGAGATGTCACCGCCTTGGTCCTTTCACTATTGGCTGCCACTACCCGGCGGATGTCAGGTGGTGCAATACCAACTAGACAGTGTAATTTCTCCAGCGGTGTAGGGCGCAGACACCCCGTGATAATGCGGTGTGTGTCATAAAGAGCCACATCCACTGTTTTAGTATGGTGAGATGTGTTCCACACTGGGCATGCATACTCAGCAGAAGAGTAGCATAGCGCAAGGGCAGATGTCTTCACTGTGTCTGGTTGTGATCCCCAGGTCATGCCAGTCAGCTTTCGTATTATATTGTTTCTAGCGGCCACCTTTTGCTTGATATTCAGGCAGTGCTTCTTGTAGGTCAGAGCACGATCCAGAGTGACTCCCATGTATTTGGGTGCGCTGCAATGCTCCAGTGGGATTCCTTCCTAGGTAATCCTCGGAGTTCGGGTTGCTTGTCTGCTCTTAAGGTGAAAAGGTGACTCAATGCATAACACTGAGTCAATACAACTTAAAGAGGGACAACACTCCTCCAGGTGCAGCTCCCAAAGAACCTTCCCCTTTAGCTTTGGCTCAGCACTAAGATTACCGTATTATGCGAATATAATGCACACCCTAATTTTGGGAAGGTAATTTAGCCAAACAGGACCAGTCTTTTCCATGTGAGCAGGACTAGTTCTGGCTGGGATTTGTGTGTGATCCTGTACCTCTGAGCAGGTGCCCTTCTTCCTTGCTTCTGAGCTTCATGGTTCCCTGCCATTGGTCCTTCATGTTGTTGTGTAGAAGTGCCCACGACAGGGGTGTCAAAATAACATCTCTCGCAGCCTTAAAAGGGCCTGTCTCTCTTGGTCCGCAGGCGTGCCCATTTGCGACTGTGCCTGGAGAAGCTGAAAGGACTGGTGCCCCTGGGACCGGAGTCCAGCCGGCACACCACGCTGAGTTTACTCACGAAAGCGAAATTGCACATCAAGGTGAGTGAGAGCCAACACCTCCTGGAGTGTTGTACTCATGAATTTTAACTGATTTAACCAAATCCCCATGCAGCAATAGCCAATGTAGGAAAGCAACCAAGTTGGGAGTGTTGAATGCTCTCATTAAGAAGGCTAGACTTGGTGGAGGTGGTTGACAGGGGTGGAGCTGCAGGCTATTGAAGGCTGCTCTGCCCCCCGCTGTGCTCTTTGCTTCAGTGTGAGCTAGGAGGCAGGTTTCAACCCCTCCCCCCTGCAAAATTGTCACACACACCCCTGAAATTTTCAACCCCTCCCACAAAAAATTCTGGCTACGGCCCTGGTGACTTGACATGTGGGTGGGGAAATCATTGTGGGAATATCATAGTTTAATTGTATTTTAATTGTTTTTGCTTTGTTTTAAACTGCAATTGGATTGTGTGGTTGTTGGCTGCCTTGAAACTTCATTGGGGTGTGGGGTGTGGGGGGGAAGGCAAGTATAAATAAATTTAAGAGATAAAGCTGATGCATATTTGAGTTCACAGACTGTCCCCCATAGATGGGAATATACTATTTTGCCTCTGTACTCATCATTCCTTGAGGCAAATAATGATGATAAGAGAGTCAAAGATGATCTTTTTCTATCTGAGAGGAAAATTACACACGCTGTATGGGAAAGCTTTCAGAATGTTCAGGCATAGGCCAACTTCAGCCCTCCCTTCAGGTGGTTTGGACTTCAAATCTCACAATTCCTGACAGCCTACCTGAGGGAGGGCCAAAGTTGTCCCATGCCTGCAGTAGATGCTTTTCAAGTCTGAATGGTGACCAGTGAAGATGTTGAAGGTCCTCTGGTGCTGCAGAACCCGTTTCCCCTCCTGAAGAGCAGAGCTCATTCTCAAATCTCAGCCAGCCGAGCCTTGCCTGTTTCCTTCCCACAGAAACTTGAAGACTGCGACAGGAGGGCCGTCCACCAAATAGACCAGTTGCAGCGAGAGCAGCGGCACCTGCGGAGGCAGCTGGAGAAGCTGGGCATTGAGCGCATCCGGACGGACAGCACAGGGTCTGCCGTGTCTTCCGAGCGGTCGGATTCCGACATAGGTGAGCCACGGGGCTGTGCTTTTGGGTACAAATCAAACCACTGTGTTGAGGGAGGCTGGTGCTTGAGTTCCCAACACAGGAGGAGAGAAGGGGCCTTTTCGGTGGCTGAGCCCCCTCCCCAAAGAGAGACAGACAGCCTGACGAGGGTCGCCCAATCCACCCACCCACCCCTGCTGGCCTTGCTTTGCAGCCAGCTCAAGGCTTTTCCCTACCACACAGGAGCCTTTGGGAGAGGATGAGGGCCAGCCGCTGCTGCTGCTGCTCCTGGAGAGACTATAAATAGAATAGTTTTAATGTCATTGTGCTAGTGCACAATAAAATGGTGTGCTCTCCCCCCCACACAGCAAAAAAACGACACACCAATCCCTCCACACCCACCCACCCACTGCCATGTCAGTGAGAAACCATGGAGTTCAACATAGCCACAGCTCTAGCATAAAAGCTATCCTTCAACCTGTTTGTCCTTATCCTTGTTACCCTGTACTGTCTGCCAGATGGCAATAATTCAAAAAAAGAATGTGTCGGGTCAGATAGATCCCCAATAATGCTTTGAGCTTTCTTAAGGCTGCGAGAGTTATAAAGTTCTTCCAAAGAGGGGAGAGGGTAGCCCAGTGGTTCTCAACCTGGGGTCCCCAGATGTTTTTGGACTTCAACTCCCAGAAATCCTAACAGCTGGTAAACTGGCTGGGATTCCTGGGAGTTGTAGGCCAAAACATCTGGGGACCCACAGGTTGAGAACCACTGGGGTAGCCGATGATTTGCTGTGCAGAAGTGGTGGTCCTTTGGAGGGCCTTCCTGCCTGCCACTGTGCAATTAACAAACCATGCACAGATGCTGTTGGTTAGGGCAGAGCACAGCAGCAGTTTTTCATTCAGTTGATGGTTCCTTAGCAGTCTCAGACAGTGCAGTCTCTGCTGGGCCTGTTTCACCAATGCCGCTTCTGTATGAGCACTGCCTCAGGTCAGATCCCCCTTCCCAGCAACACCCAGGAACTTAAAACTGACCGTGATCTCCATTTATGACCAAGGGTTGGATTTCTGGTCTGTTCTTCCTATAATCCACTATGGGTGGGGTTCTGGGTGCACTGGGAGATTTAAACAAATTTTTAATTGCATTTACTATATTTTAAGTGTGTTTTAGCCTAAATCCACACAGTACTATTTAATTTTTTAAAAGTTGTGATCAGATTATGTGGTAGTTAGCCTTCCTGAGGCCCCACGGGGAAAAGGACGGGGTCAGGATAAATGGCAGCACATGAAATGAACAACTGACCCACATCCCCTCCTTCCTTTCTGTCGGCAGAAGAAGAGGTGGATGTGGACGTGGACGTGGAGAGCACTGACGATCTGGCCGGGGAGCTGGACTGGAGCAGCAGCAGCCCCAGTGACTCGGACGAGAGGGGCAGCCTCCAGAGCCTCTGCAGTGACGAGGGCTACTCCAGCGCCGGCCTGCAGAGAAGAAAGCCCCAGAACACTCTCAAGGCCTGCCTCGGCCTATAAAGAGGGAGCCCCCGCATTGCCCCCTTCCTTCCTTCCTTTTCCATCCGTCCGTCCGTCCGTCACTGTTTCCTTGTCGGATCTTTCTAGGTAGTATGTTGGACCTCCCCACAATTCTCTCTCTGGCACGCAAACTCCTCGTTCCACCCGAACCCACTTTGGCCTGAGTCTGGAACCGGTGCAGAGGGTTGTGGGTCTCAAAACTACTCTCTGGAGCCTCCGCACCCCCCAAGGCATCCACTAGCTCCCCTTTCCCGTCTGTCCAGCCATTCATCTCTATGAGACTGAACATTCCAATGAAATTTCTTAGTCCCAAGAATCTTGTTGCAGTAATAGCAACTCAAACCCTTTTGCCTACGCTGCTGTGGCCTATGCTTCTCAACTGCCTTTGGAACGCATGTGGAAACCCTAGCCAGGCAGCCCTATGCCTCAAGTGGGGCCTCAGAAGGCAGCAGATGCTCCCCTGCGTTCCTGCGAGTCGCCCTGAAGCCCCTTGGAGGCGCCCCCCCTCCTGCCCCGCTGGGCCGGCCTCCTCGTGGCTAGTTCCAAAGGCTCGAGGCTGGCAGCCAGGGAGCAGAAATGGGGCGGGAATGGAGCTGGGCTGGAGGCTCTTTTCGTGGAGGAGGTTTCCTCCTCCTCCTCCTCCTCCTCCCTCCACTCCCTTCCACCCAATCCCCCTGGCCAGATGCTTTCCCTCAAACACACCTTGACATTTAAAAGACCAAATAATACTCTTCCCGTGCAATCCTCTCTCAACGTGTTTTTGCATCGACCACTGCATTTCCCTTTAGTTTCTGGCCGCTTTTTAGGCGCTGCCACCGCCGCATCCTGCTTCTTGTCTCTGGGACAAATCTTTCTACCTCAGAGAGATGAACAAAGCTGATCTCAACCCATTGAGCACAAAATAATTATGCCTCATTTGTATCTTTGGTCTGAATCCACAATCTGTTTACTTTTTACCAAAAAATCAGCAATAAGTGAGTGACGGGAGCCTAGCTGTGCTAGCTCTGAGTCCATGGCAGAGAAGACTGCGTTGAAAGCAGCAGCTCTGCAAAGAGGCCCTTCTGCCCTACCCCCCACCCCACTCCACCCGTGGGCACTTCCTCCCTATTTAATTGACCTGAGAGGCCTGCTCAAGGAAGGGGCTCACAGGTGGGATTTGGGGGTCTCCTGAACCTTCAAGCATTAACTCTTTTCTGCCCCTTTCGCCTTGTCTGTGTGGTCTTGCAGCAATAACATCCTTCACTTCAGCTAGATCGAGCACACACCAATGTACATAACAATGTGGTCTATACATAGCAGTTATTCTTTTCTTTTATACATAAATGTAAAGTGGTTTTCTTATGGATTTTTTCTATAGCAGCCTAAGAAATGTTCTGCATCACAGTTCATAGCTTTCCCTAATGTTGCTGTGGATCTAAATGCAGTGCCCACTTACCCAATTTCTAGTGATTTTGAGGGTTGCCCCTCCAAAGTAGAACCCACTTTCTCCCACCGGCATTTAGAGGACCCCTGAATGCCAGCTGGTTGATCAGTTGGTTGGTTTCATGCCTCTAAAAGGGCTACGTAGTTTTTTTAGCTTCGGACTGTGGCTCCTGCTTTTTTGCAGGTGACTGAGCTGCCGAGGTACTCTCGGACCTCCTCACAAGCCCCAAGCAAACCTAAGAATTACATTTGATATTCCTTCAAGCTATTATGGGACACATTTTTTTGAGATGGGAAGCGGAGCTAGTAGATTGCTAAAGATCTCCAAAGCAATTTATTTTGGAGGAGTGTGCTATCTTTTTAAAAAACAACAATAATAATAATTAACCCAGCTGGATTTTTTCAGAGGTCCGGCAAACTTGCACTGAACTCCTGCTTCTCAGAAGCCTCCTTCTTGTCCTTGGAAGCTGGCTTTGAGTCCAAGCAGAAAACCCTTCAGAGAGCAAACTCCCGATTGGTAAACTTTGAAGGAGTTGAGTGCTTGCACTTTGAGGCCCTTGGTCCCGACCTGTTTCCTACCTGAAATCCTTTGAGCTGCTTCTCTCTTTGTACAAAACTGTCTCACAAATTCAACTCCATGTTGACACCTTGACATTTTGAAATGTTAGTGGGATAGATCTGAATGGCGAAATTTGTGTTGTTGGCTTTAAGGGTTCAACCTAATGTGTGTGAGTGTTATTTTTTTCACTATGAGTTGTTGTGCCTTTTGTAAGTTAATTGTGTTTGGGCACAACCCGCTTTGGATTTCGCAGGGTCCCTTCTGGTCTTCCTTCCTCCTCCCCAGACACTAAAGGAAGGCATTTCCGCAGTTTGGGCAGGAGAGATTCATAGCGGGTTGCTCCCAATCCGTTCCCTTTTAAGTTTTTGAAAATTCTGTGGTTTCATTTGTAAATCTTTGCATTGTCTGGACGCGGTCCTTTCAGAATTCTGGTGGTTCAGGAAAACATTGAATTTGGCAAACAAACATAAAGAGGGAGGGATGCATTTCAGAACCACCTGGACCAGCAATTCCCAAACTTTGGTCCTCCGGCTGGTTGGACTTCAGCTCCCAGAAGTCAACAGGCATGTTCTGGATTTGGGAATCTTTGAATTGACGGAGGGAAACAAATAATTGTGTGGCTGCGGCTCCAGACCATGCAAACTTGCCCCACCTCTTGCTTTATCCCATGATCTAGAACCCCAAACATGACCCCCTGATCAGGAACCCGGTCGCCCGGGAAACGTGGAAACCGGGCCATGGAGGTGCGAACCTTCTGATCCGGCCAGCCTTTTCTCTCGAATTCACTGATCCACCAGCATTATTCTTAGTAAGCTGCAGGAAGCTTTAAAAGATTTTTGTAGATTGTCAGGAGGGAGCTGGGGGTTGTTTCTTGTGCCTGTGTTTACAAGATGGACATTTGTATGTCTGTGTGTGTGCATTTCCTGTGAAAATGAGTCATGGCGCGCTTGATTGGGAGAAATTCAAAACACGGTGCTCCGTTCGGACAGGTGGGCAAGAGGCCACTGTGGGGCAGGCTGAAAGCATTCTCCAAAGAAAGCACGGCCTGCACCTGAGGAACCTTTATTTTGCCCTTCGGAGTTGAGTGCACCCTGTTTCCTTTTGATAAAAGCCAAGCTTTCCCAGCACTGGTTTTGTCGCATCTTGTGGACCTTTTTCTTTTTGAGGGTTGGTGCAAATATCTCCTTCTTATTTTATTTCCCACCAAGTTCAGATTCAAAAGCACTTAATATGGGGTGCCGCAAAAGCTTCCAGGGCCTACCTGCCTGCCTTCCTTCCTTCCTCCCTCCCTCCCTCGGCTGCCGACTGCCATTTTAACACTTTGTCCTCCAAAGGGCCGGCCTGGCTTCCTCACTCCCCGTTTTCAATCTGTTTGTTTTTGCAAAGATTTGGGGGGGAAACACAACAGCCAGAAGGGATTTTTGAAAGCCCTGCATTCTCTGGGGGATGAATGGATGGACGGGTGGATGGATGGAAGGGGACGGGGAGAAATGGGCTTTTTTGGCAAACACTGGCTGCCTCAATGAGAAACTAAGCGAAAACGCCTGGTGTACAGTCTAGCAATATTTGGGACTCAAAGTCCCTTGTTTGCCCCCTCCCTTCCCTCGGTAACCAATTTCAGGTTTTGACACTTAACTGTACTGGTATGAATTCTGCTTTTTAAAAATATATATCTATCTATCTAGTTGTGCATTTGCTCCCCTTACGTGCTGTTGCGCTGCTTCCCTCTCCTTCTCCTCCACCTCCTCCTCTTCTTCTTCTTCCTCCTCCTCCTCCTCCTCCACCTTCTCCTCTTCTTCTTCCTCCTCCTCCTCCTCCTCCTCCTCTTCTTCTTCCTCCTCCTCCTCCTCCTGCTGCATTTGGTCTGAGGAATCGCTTTGCTTTCTATTCAATGTGAGTCAGCAGCTCCTTTTCCCAACCGCAAAGGCTTTTGGTTTCTGAGGGGGAAACTGCCCCAAAGGAAGGGCCGGTGAGCGAAATCCCCTTCCTCTTAGTGTTGAATGAATATTGTCTGGTTGAACAACACTTTTGAAACCGCCTCTTCCCTGCCTGTCGTCTCCTTCATCAACGTTTGGCTCTGCTTCGCCGTTCCTTTAAAAAAAAAACACCCAAAGATTTGACCCATTTGGTGGACAAGCTTGGCCTTTCTTCTTTACACTTTTCCTTTTGCTGCTTCTTTATTATTATTATTATTATTATTATTTTGTAGTTGACCTTGATGATAACAGGTGCTCTGAACAACACTCGCTGTTTCTGAACTCTTTCTGAGATTAGTTTTTTGGAGTCTTCTGAATTGAAAACGCAGTCAAAACAGAGGAGCAGCCGATGGGGAGGAACAAGGAAAATTTTAATTTCCAGGCGTTCAGTTCCTAATGTAAATACCACATCATTTTTTTAAAAAGGAAAGGAAAAATCCTGTGTCAAGACCTACAATGGTGCTTTTTGTTACAGTTAGCACATGCATTTTTAGAAACTACATGTTTTAGATGACCTTGCTGTGTATATGTATACTTCTGTATTGTTCAACGGTTAGAAAAATAAATTATTTCATTATTAAAAGGGGCTTTTGGCTTATCGTTCTGTCCAAAGACTCCATTCTGCCCATTGAAAGGTATTGAACATACATTATTTCTGATAAGTTAACCTCAGAAGGAACCTGTGGTCCCATTTGCATGCCACACCACAAAAACCATGCACCTGTGACTTTATTTTATTTATTCCATTACGCAGCCATTAGGCAGATCTGAGAGCACCGAACACATTCTGGGTTTGGCAATTGAGGGTTTTTTCAGAAAGCGTCCTGGACACAAGGCAGCCTGTGGGCTTCTTTGGGATTTAGGCACCAGAAGAGAAAGCGACGATGCCTTTTTTTGATCTGGACATTGTGATTACACTATGTAACAAAATTTGGAAAATGTTCTGTTCCTGGTTTGAAAGGATTCTTTCCTGTTTAATGATGCGGTCCTTATTTTGAAATTTCTCCTCCAGGAACTTTGTTTTTGTGCCACAAACGAGGTTGAATGGGTTGAGACCCCTCTTCTCTCCTGACTGCTGCCTTTGCTCAGGAGACTTTGGCTTTGGAAGGACTTCAAACCCTTTTGTGAAGGAATGGATGCCACCTAGAGTTTTCTGCAGCCCCAGAGATTTGGACCTAAACCAGAGCACAAAACAGATTCCTCTTCATATAAGGAAGAAGAGCCTATTTGCTTTAAAGGTTGGTGGAAGACCACTTTAAACACCTTCGCAGAAGCATACGAGAAGCTCGGCCTGTCATTGAACATTGAAAAAACCAAGGTGCTTCTCCAGCAGACACCAGCCAACCCTTCTCCAATGCCAGTGATACAGCTTAATGGTGTAACATTAGAAAATGTTGATCATTTCCGCTACCTTGGCAGCCACCTCTCCACCAAAGTCAACATCGACACCGAAATACAACACCGCCTGAGCTCTGCGAGCACACCATTTTTCCGAATGAAACAGAGTGTTTGAGGAACGGGACATCTGTAGGGATACTAAGGTGCTTGTTTATAGAGCTATTGTCCTCCCAACCCTGCTATATGCCTGTGAGACGTGGACTGTCTACAGACGTCACATGCAACTCCGGGAACGATTCCATCAAAGCTGCCTCCGGAAAATCCTGCAAATCTCTTGGGAAGACAAGCGGACAAACGTCAGCGTGCTGGAAGAAGCAAAGACCACCAGCATTTAAGCGATGGTCCTCCGCCATCAACTCCGCTGGACTGGCCAGGTTGTCCAGATGCCCGACCACCGTCTCCCAAAGCAGTTGCTCTACTCTGAACTCAAGAATGGAAAACGGAATGTTGGTGGACAGGAAAAGAGATTTAAAGATGGGCTCAAAGCCAACCTTAAAAACTCCGGCATAGACACTGAGAACTGGGAAGCCCTGGCCCTTGAGTGCTCCAGCTGGAGGTCAGCTGTGACCAGCAGTGCTGCAGAATTTAAAGAGGCATGAATGGAGGGCGAAAGGGAGAAGCATGCCAAGAGGAAGGCGCGTCAAGCCAATCCCGACCGAGGCCGCCTTCCACCTGGAAACCAATGCCCTCATTGCGGAGGAAGATGCAGAGCAAGAATAAGGCTCCACAGCCACATACGGACCCACAAGAACACTGGAAGACAATCCTCCTCGAAAAACGATGGATCGCCTAAGTAAGTAAGGTGGAAGACATTGCCTCAGAGAGGCAAAGGCCAGGCATGGGCCAACTTGCACCCTCCTCAGCTACCACCATTCCTCACCACCTACCTGTTTTCCCCATCTCTACTTGCCCCTCAAGGCTCCCAAAAAGCACTTGCAATTACCTCAAGCTGACTTATGAGCTTCTGGCTGACTCAGCAAGTTTGAGCGGAGCAGGCACCACTTGTTTTGGAGAGGCCTACATCTGTACTTTGTCTCTCCTTCCCTTCATTTGGGTCTTTTGCCCTAAAATTGGGACTCAAAGCCAAAATAAAAAGAATCAGAGGTGAAAAGCAAAGGCCACTCAAAACAGGCCCCAGATGTTAGAATAATAACAGAATCAAACTCCTTTGGAAATAAAGGGTGCGCTTCCCAGAAAAGCAAAGAAGGAAAGGAGCAAAGTGTAGGGAAAAGGCAAGAGATCAAGAATGAGTGATCTTTTTATGTTTTTCCTAACGCTCAATGGAAAACGGGCGCAGCACTATCTGTAGTGGTTGTACAGGGGTTCAAAAGTTTTTTTCAGCTATGGTGGCTCAGGTGGCGATGTTGTGGATCTGGCCGGCCAGGTGAAAAGAGGCTCCGGAAATGAGCGAGGCCTCTTCAGGTGAGCATCCCGAGTGCCTTTAGGAAATGGGAGGAGCAGCAGTAACAATGATTATGCTCCGGACCTCACCTGCGGGTGCTCTGCCTGCACATGCTTTACCTGCGAGAGCCCTGCCTGCACATACCTGCTGGCTGAATCCACACCAGGAACTGGAAATGCCCTTCAAGGAAGGCGGAGGAGGAATGACTCCGGTGCTGTCTGTTGAGAGGAAACGGTGACACTTCCTTAACTCATCTGATCTGGTTCCACAACATATTGCCACCAGGCTTGGCAGGTTCCCAACTTACTGTAATTTTTCACTAGTAGTTTTTGTCCATTCTTGAAATTTTCTAGCCAGTGTAGTCACAATAATATTAACTTTTTAGACATTATGGTCATCAAGAATGGGGAAAAAACTACTAGTGAAAAATTACAGTAAGCTGACATAAAAATTCAATCCTACATTTTTCCAGTTTTCACCATCATTCACTGAAATCCAGTTTACCATACTCAGTTTTTAAGATCAAAACGTAATTTTAGTACCCAAAAGTATTTTTACTCTTCGGCAGATATTCTGAAAGCACAACTTAGAGAGAGGGGATACCCCAGTAGGATATTGAACACAGCTATCAATGAGACTAATTCCATTAACAGGAAGACACTACTACAAGAAAGACCTAGCATAACAACCACTTTATCTGTTCTCTTAACTTTAACACAATACTCATCTGATATATATAAAAAAAGATCATTTTTAAACACTGGCATTTAATACAAGACCTCCCAGGATGCCAAAGCACAACCATAATTGCCCATAAAAGATCTAAAAACATAAGGGACATTATGATTCATTCAAAATACCACTCTCCTACCACACTATGGCTTCAATGGCTTCAAACTACAAGAAAGGAGATTCCATCTGAACATTAGGAAGAACTTCCTGACTGCGAGAGCCGTTCAGCAGTGGAACTCTCTGCCCCGGAGTGTAGTGGAGGCTCCTTCTTTGGAAGCTTTTAAACAGAGGCTGGATGGCAATCTGTCAGAGGTGCTTTGAATGCAATATTCCTGCTTCTTGGCAGGGGGTTGGACTGGATGGCCCATGATGTCTCTTCCAACTCTTTGATTCTATGACTTCTAAAACAGACTATTAAGGGTCACACCAGCTCTGCCTATTGTGACTGCTGTTCTCAGGCCTTGAAGGGCAAAACATTCTCACATCCCACATTAAATATCCACATCACCTTACAGCATTTTACTACATGCTCCACGAACAACATAGTTTACGTACTTCAATGTCCATGTCAATTATTATATGTTGGGATGACCACCAGACCCCTGAAAAATCAGAATTAGTGAACACCGCTCTCACATAAGAAATGAGTCCACTGACTCTTCTTTATATGCACATTTCCAAGAAAAGGCACACATTTGCCATAACTTTAAATTTTGTGCTTTGGAGAAGGTAACACCTAAACCTAATATCAATGTTAAAAGGTATTTGTTACAGAGAGAGTAATTTTGGATTTTCAAACTACAAACACTCATCCCCCAAGGGCTTAATGATGGAATTGATTACACTTGCTTCCTGTAACACTCAGTCTTACTTAAGAGTCACCCTGTTACCATTACAATTGCTCATTACAGAACTCCTCTCACTACAGAGCCCAAGCTCTTCACAGGAATGTAAGTAGACTCACATGGGTTTTGAAAATCCCCTTAAACATTGGGATATTTGGACATTTTAATATACCTTGTGTTTTTTGTATATTGTTTTATTTCCTTTCTAGTGGATCCAAAAGGTATGCGTGCATGTTGGCTGAGATCCTGCTTCAATGGTGCATTCATGATGTGCAACTTCTGGTGATGTACAATATATTGCAACCCACAGAAGATGGTCCAAAATGTCCAGACGTGATGCATGCATGGAACATCTCCAGGATTGTGGCAACCATTGTGATGAATAAGAAGTGTCCCCAAAGGCAGGCCCTCCTTTTGATATTGGCTGCATCAGTGTTTACAAAGGAAGGAAAGGAAAGGGCAGGGCCCTGCCTCCTCCTCCTCCACCTCCACCTCCACACCACAGCAGCAAGGCCAGTTTGACAACTCAGTGTGGCCTGCAGCAAGGTCCCTTATTTTTATTTCCCTTCCTTCCCTTCACCTCCTCCTCCTCTTTATCAAACAGAGGTGAGTCACAAAGGTGTCTCCTCTCATGACGGATCATAATGGCAGGTAATGGTTTCCAACCTCAGTCTGTTTACCAACTCTGTCCAACTTCCTTTCAACCAGGTCGGCCATGGTTTCGTATACATTCAGACCGCTATATCCACTGAATATGGAATGGGTGATGCCTGGCTCCACAAATTATTTATTCATTATTTATTCAAATTATTTATTCATACCATATTTATACCCCACCCTTCTCACATATAGGCAACAATTCGATGCCACACAAACATACATCCAACAAAATAAACATATGTATTAAAACCAACCCTTCAAAACATATCAACATTAAAACCAATTTTTAAAACCACACAATCCACAACAGTTCATGTGAAAAAGATCTTAGAGTCTTTGTGGACAACAAGCTGAACATGAGCCAAGAGGAGTGGCGAAGTGGGTTAAACCATTGAGCTGCTGAACCTGCTGACCAGAAGGTTGGCAGTTCGAATGTACGGGATGGGGTGAGCACCTGCTGTTAGTCCCAGCTCCTGCCAACCTAGCAGTTCAAAAACATGCAAATGTGAGTAGATCAATAGATACGGCCTCATTTATTTATTTATT